AATTGGGTAAATCTTATATTTTTTCGGAAATTAACTTTTTTAACCGAATTTTAAAGAAACTCAAAATTCTTAATTTTTAAATAAAAAAGTAAAGCCCCTATCTTAAAAAACATCTACAAATTCGTTAAGTAAATCGAAGATCCGTTAATAGGCTTTTAGATTATTTTTATTTTTATAAATTCTAATTTTAATATAATAAATAACCGTTTTTAAATTAACGAATTTAAAATTGTTTACGAAGTACTTCTTTTAATAAAGTTAATTAGCGGTTATATAAACAACGTTAACGTCTAAACCGTTGGTAGGGACTTGAATTAAAATATATATATCGTTAATTGAATGTAGCCTTCTGATAGTTTAATTAGCGTCTACAGTTATAGGTTTATCACTTAGGTTCGTTACCAAAGCGTAGAATATTATTAAATTTATTAATATTACGAAGGAAGTAACCCTATTTTAAGGAGAAGGTTTAAAGAAAAAGTCCTAACCATTAGATAGGATTCTATATCGGATAGGAATTTTAATTACCGATTTCAGTTAAATTATAACGTATTACGTAGTAATAATACAAGCGTTATATTTTTTACCCTTAGCTTCCGTTAAAACGGGAATAACTACGTCATTATAGGATCCGATTATTATTAATAATTTAGCTAAATCTAATACGAATTTCTCCGGGGTTAGGATATCTATTTCGAACAATAAGTAAATTTTTAATCTTTAAACTAAAGCGACTTCCCGACGGAAATAAGCTACTATAAACTAATTTATATAGTTAACTCTTTTAAAAAGTATATTTAGGATTACGTATTCGTCCGATACATATTGATTATTATTTATATTTCGAATAAATAATGCTATTAACCTTCGACGAATTTATATTTTAGGATAATATCTTTAGATTTAGGATTTGTCAGTTAGAAATTTAATATATTTGGAATTAAAATAAATATGCTCTTCGTATCGAATAGCTAAATTAATCATAATATAAGCTTTAAAGTAAATAAATGCCTGAAACTATTATTTAATACCTAAATTTAATTTAGGGTCGACGTTAGAATATATTACTTTCAAAGGTTATTAGAAGGGTAAAAGGGAGTTGGGCGTCGATAGTTACATTAACGATAGTTTGGTCGTAGTAGGTTTAATTTCGTTTCGACCGTAGGTTGGTAATAAACCGTTTTAGGAGTTAATTTAAATATTCCTAAATCGGAGTTAATTAAATCGGAAAACCTTATTTAATTATATAAAGTATTTATTGCGGGAATCTCTTCGACTACAGTAATAAAAACCTATTCATCGCCTAACTCCGGAAGGTTAATTTTAAGAGTAAATAAATCGGTAGGCGAAGTGGATTCGAAGGTAAGAAAATTAGGTACGATAGCGTCCTAAATATAAGAATTAGAAATAATAGAATCGATAGTAAGAGAGTCGGAAATAATTATATTAACGGTAAAAGAATTAGAAATAGAATAATAAATAGAATTAGAAATAATAAAATTAACGTTAAAAGAGTTAGAAGTAGTAAAATCAATAATAGAATTAGAAATTTCAGTTTTCAGTATAAATGAATTAAGCGCGGTTACGTTAACTACGTCGGGATTAAGAATTAAGGGTGCAATAGAAAAAGAAATAATAGGAAGCTCGGCTATAGCGATTAATATAATTTATCTTCTAAAACGTCTCACGATTTAATAATCTTTTTCTAAATAATTCTAAGATTTATTAGAAGTAGGGAAAGATCGCTCGCAATGGCGATAAACGTATTAATAAATTTTGAACGCTTGGACGCTTATTTAGATAATTTTATAGGGTTAATCCTAATTTTAAGAATCGTTATTAAATTAATTTTTATCGCAGTCGAAAGTTTATTTATAAATTATTTAATAAAGGTTATTAAGATTATCCTTATTATAAATATAATCGTTATCCTAGGGCTTAGTATATTCGTTATCCTTTACTTCGGCAAAATAGGCTTTCTATTATTATAACCTATTATTAAAGCCGTTATTAAATTTATTATTATTATAATTTCAGCTGGATTTATTATTCTGGTACTGACTTTAATTTTAATATCTTGAGAATCTAAACGTTTACCCTTAAATTTAATTAAAATTAAATTAATTTCCCCGATTATTATTATTACGATTATCATTATATTTACTATTCCGCAATTAGTATCGAAACTATTATTATTATACTTATTATTATACCCGTTCCTGTTAAAAGAATTAAACTTATTATTTTAACGCTGGTTATTGTGATTATTATTATATTAATTAGGGCGATCAATATATTAGTTCTAATTGAATTAACGAAGAGGAGGGTTAGGATATAAATAATATTATTTACCGAAATTAATTATAATAGCTATTAAAATTAATCTATTATTAAAAAAAAGATAATCTAATTACTGGCGAAGGACTTTGAAATTCCTTAGCTTTAGCTATTAAAACGCTCTATTTCTTATTAAAGTATTTAAGAAAAGTACTAAGGGTAATTAAATCGGAGGGTTTATTAACAATAGACTAAATATAGCTGTCTACTACTTTAAAAGTAAATATAAATTGAAGCGATTTAAATACATTTAAAGTTTTAACGTCTTTAACGATTTATTAGACGAAAGAACGAATATTTCGGCTAATATAAATATTAAAGGGGGTTAATTTCCTAGCGTTGAAACTATATAGGGCTTTATTATCTATCCGCTTAAAGCGTTTAATAAAAATTAATAAAGTAAATTCGACATTTCCGGTAATTAAATTAGCCCGTTCGAAGTTGGTCAATTCCGTAGAATGTTAAATTAAGGCTAATCCTTGGAAATAGGTAGTTTAAACTTTGCGGACGGTTTAGATAGAATATATAGTAGCTAAATATTTTAAACATTCTATAAAAGTATAAACGTTAACGAATATTATTATCTTACCCTATTATATTATATTATTACTATTATTATTTTTCTTTTTTAAATTTGGGTTGAAGTAACTAACTTCTTTTACTTTTAAATTTAATAATAGTCTGGAACGGGGAGCGGCGGTTAGAATTTAAACTATAATTTAGGTAATTAGTTAGGCGATTTCATTTATTATTAAGGGTATAATTCTTAAGCGAATTTATCGACGTTAGGGAGTTTGTTAACGTTGAAGTTCGGGATTAATTTTATTAAATTTAGGTTTTAGAGCGGTAAAATTCTTAATTATATTAATTATAGTCGATCCGTTCAATAGATTTCCGTTGTTAACCGACTTAGGAATACTTTTTAAGGGGGTAAACTTCTTAGAAATATTCGAAGGAACCGATATAAATCGTTAAAATACAGAATATAACGGGGTATTAAAATAAATAGGTTTAATAGTAGGATGACGAATAGGGGTTAGTAAGAGGGGGTTAAATTTAGTTGAAGTTAAGGCCTTAAAAAGTAGGGTAGGGAAGTTTAAATTAGAAATTTAGTCTTGAAAATGTTTTTTTAAAGTTGGGTCTAATAGTATTATTTGTATTAATAGCGGTTGATCCTAAAATAGATTCGTTAAAATATAATATAATTGAATTAGAAAGAAGTCTAGGATTTGGGTTTTTGAAATTAGACGGGGTAAATAGAAGATTAATATTTAATACATTAATAATATTAGCGTTAAACCTTTTAGAAATTTAGTTTTGGGAAGGGGTAGGAACTTAATTAGACGGGGCAAATATTTAAGAAGAATGGGTAACCGCGCTTAAAATTATTAAATTAGAAGTAGGTAGGGAAGGGAGAAATTACCTTCGGGCTCCGAACGTAGGAAACTGCCTTTAAAATAATATAAAAAGTATAAATATCTACTAATTAAAAGCTACTCCGACGGTTAATTCTATAAATACCGGTTCGATTTATTAAAACTTATTTATGAAAGGCTCGTCCGCAGTCTAATTAGGGTATTAATTATAGTCGATAAATTCGTAGCAACTCTTCTAAGCTCTAAAACTACTATTAAATATACGTCGGGTTTCGGTCTATTCGACGGAATAAATATTTTTATAATAGCCTAAATAAACGTTAAGGTTTAGAGCGATCCGTTTAGCAATTTCCAAATATTCTTCCCATATAACCTAAATATTTAGGTAATTAGTACAGTAGAATCTCTGTAATTGACAGACAGTTTATTTAATTTGTTTATGTAAGGAAATAGATAGTATCGATTTGTAGGATTCGAGGAAATTAATAATATTGATTTATAAGGTTTGAAATTGAAATAAATTCAAGCGTCTCGGTTTATCAGACTTAAGGTCAATTAAATTTAAGGTTTACTAGATTCGAAATTCGCGTTAATATACGTATTAAGCGCGGGCGTTTTGTAAGAGTCCGACGTAAAGTTTATTAGAAATAAATTTCGAAAAGGCAGATTTAACGTTCGATACAGAATAGATTAATCAGTATTAAATTAGACGACGCGATATTTGAAAGGATAGTTCCTAAAATAGGGAACGAGGAAATCAATAAACGAAGGAATTAATAAAGTCGATTTTAAATCTTAAAATAGGAAACGAAGAAATTAATAGTATTAATTCTAGCGATGCTTGAAGTAAGCAATTACGAGAATCGATAGTATTTTAATTACGATGCTTAAGTTAAATTAATTATTAATTTAATTAGTAATATCCGAAACGGGTTGATCGCGGAGTTTAAGTTGATAGTTAATAGCGTTAAATTAGATCGCTATAGGGGACGCATTTAACGCGGTTTCAAATAAAAGTAAACAAACTACCAAAACCATTGAAACAACAAGGTATGATGAAGTATATTCGATTATTGTATGGGCACTATTGTTAATGCCAGAGGCATATGCAAGGCGAAAGCAAACTGTGGGTACAAATGTGTAATGTATTCTACAGAAGTATAGATGTATTGCAAGGGTGCATGATGTACTGGCTATATATACTGGCCACTATATACATACAGGGTGCGCCTGCCTCACATGTGCGTGCATGCTTAGTAAGCTCTAACAGCCATCCCGTGCTTCTTCCCCAACTCGGCCGTCTGTCTGTTCCAAATCGGGTGTCAATCCATGCTCCCATTACTGACCCGGTGCCCGTCTTCAAGAATCTAGACGCGCTCTCGCTTCCCTTTCCATCGTATATACCGACCTCACTTCAACGCCGCCCTCCCTCGACTCTCCACCCTATATTTAGTCCCATCTCGACAACGACAGACATCCCATTCTCCCCGCCCGTCTGATCTCAACTTCAACCGCGCCCTCCAATCTGTCCGCCACTAATACCTCAATCTCCTGGTCCTGTCCAAGAAAGCCACGACGAGCCATTATCGCCGAGCCTCCTCGATCCTGCATCATTTGTACCTGACCCAACCCTCGGAAGTCTGTTCACTTTTATATCCAGTCGCCCATCATGTCTGGATACCCCGGCGCGGGTTACAATGGAGGAGGCTACGTCCCGCCGCCTCAACCACAATATGGCGGCTACTACCCTCCGTATGTTGTTGTAGCCTTGTTCTTAAAACTGCGGATCTAACTTTTGCAGTCAACCCGCATACAATGCCTATCAGCAGCCGCCTCCTCAGCAACAACCCTACATGGGTTATCATCAGCCTTCGCCTGGTCCCCAGCAACAACAGTACTGGAATCCACAGCAACAGGTCCGTTTAAGCTCATTACCATAACCCACATCCACGCAGAGGAGTACTAAATACAAATAGACGCCCACACCACAAGGATATGGCAATACCCCCAATTCCCATTACGGCAGACCTGGTGAGTGCTAGCTACAATGGCCCCCCAGACTGGAGTGTGGCCTCTAACTATTCTTTCAGATGCGAACATGCCAACGGTGAATTCGAATTCGTACGCGCATGGGAACCACCAAGCTCCTCCGCCTCCTCCTCAAGCGCCTCAGCAGTTTGGATATGGCGCTCCAGCGGACTACGCCTTCCGATATTCGCAGTGCAATGGCCGACACAAAGCTTTGCTCATCGGCATCAACTACTTCGGTCAGCGTGGCCAGCTGAGAGGATGTATCAACGACGTCAGGAACATGTCATCATATCTAGTTGAGCATTTTGGGTACAAGCGCGAGGATATGGTTATTCTTACCGATGACCAGCAAAATCCCATGAGTCAACCTACCAAGCAGAACATCCTTAGAGCGATGCACTGGTTGGTCAAGGATGCTAGGCCCAACGACTCATTATTTTTCCACTACTCCGGTAAGCACTCAAGATGATCTCTTCCCCAACACCGGAAGGCCTGCTTCTGACGGTCGGATTCGCTAGGACACGGAGGCCAAACCAAAGATCTTGACGGCGACGAGGAGGATGGGTACGACGAAGTCATATATCCAGTTGACTTCCGACAAGTGGGACACATCACCGACGACGAAATGCACCGCATCATGGTAACACCGTTACAAGCTGGCGTTCGGCTGACCGCTATCTTCGACTCATGCCACTCGGGAACTGCGCTCGATTTGCCGTATATCTATTCAACTCAGGGCATTCTCAAGGAGCCCAACCTGGCCAAGGAAGCTGGCCAAGGTCTTCTTGGTGCTATCTCATCCTACAGCCAAGGCGATCTCTATGGCGTGGCGAACAACATCATGGGGATTTTCAAGAAGGCCACCGGCGGTGGCGATGCCCATGCAAGAGCATTGGCTACGAAGACGTCACCCGCCGATGTTGTTATGTTCTCCGGAAGCAAAGATGACCAGACCTCGTTCGTATACCCCTCTATTATGGTTCCTTGTTCTTGAAGCGTCTTTTTCTCTCTTTCTCTTTTGGCACAGGCATCGGATGTTTGGGAGCAAGAGCTACTGGGCGTTTGGGGTTTTAGCCGATGCCGTCAAGTGGGCACAGCAAAGGCATTACTTAGCATACTTCTTGTACATACCTTCAACCTACGCTCTAGATGCAAAGTACGATCATCATTATGGTCTGTGACTTTGCATCTAGGGCGATGGGTCACGTTGGATCACCCTCACGCCTGCCCCTCATTTCCTTCCCCAGACGTCCCTTGTCAAGATTTACTTGCTAACCTCGATGCCTTCTTCGCAGAGCCGACGCCACAATTGCTTCACAAGCTACAGGGGCCATGTCCTGGGCTTTCATTAACGCCCTCAAGAAGAACCCCCAGCAGAGCTATGTCCAGCTGCTCAACAGCATCCGAGACGAACTGCAAACGCGTTACACACAGAAGCCTCAGCTGTCGTGTAGCCACCCTCTTGGTGAGGCTTCCCCCTCCTCACATTCCTCGTCATCATTCTACAACCCCTCATCAAGTCGTTATCTGGTTACCACGTTTAAGATTTGAGCTGCATATATATACCCTTAAAAGGAAACTCGAGGAGAAGTGTCTGTTTGGGTTTCTTTTACCTGCATTGCGTTGCGTGGACCGCCTTTTGCGCGGTTGTTTGGAAAAGTTAGACATTTTAATGGACACACAAAACACACAATGATGACGAACAAAACGACCCAAGATAAGAAGAACAAGCTGACTAACTTTGGTGATGCAAATTATAAAGATACGAATCTCCTATTCGTTATGTGAAGAAACCGAAAAAAAAGAAGTGTATACCAACAATCGGTCGCTAGGAATCATTTTCTGTTCAACAGAAAAAGCGTACCGATTTGCGGTCGACTGGTCGACACGCCTGGGTAAGGTATCACTAGGGAAAGATGGCGACCGACTCGCCAGGTCTTTTGTGGGGTGTTGGGCATGATCGGGACCTGAAAAGTGAATGTTGATATGACGAAGGTTGGACCGAGGTTGTTGGTGGTTTTATCTTGTCTGCCATTTGGTTGGTTGGCTAGGGATGATAAGGCAATTAAGTGGACTGTGTCTTAGTCTTTGGGTACCTGGAAGGTCACCTTGTCTCTTCTATTTGGATATAGATACATATAACCACTTCCGGTCCTATCATGCACTCGTGAATAAAAGTGAAGAGCCGCTTCAAGCATCGAGGTCTTTCTATTCAACGTAATACTGTATTACAGGGACAATCTCAACGATGTTTGGTTTCAGTCTATGAGTGGTTCGACCTTGGAATGCTTGTTAAGTGGGAGCGTTGTCCCTTTCCGCCTACCGATGCTCTTCCTTTTCGCTATTTGCGAGCTGATTTGGCCGTTGTTAAATCCCTAGAAACCCACAATTTGTTTGCAATGTAATATTGTCCAAGGACATTGATGAGATCCTCCAAGACGCCTTATCATGATGACCATCTGAACATCTATTCCACCAAGCTCATGTGTTCTAGCTAGGACTTACCCTCTCCATCCAAATCCTCTTCATCACGGGGCAACGTCATACCCATCAACCCAAGCAGGTTGCCCGCTGGACCCGCCATGCCCGCCTGGCTCTTGAAGCTCTCCAGCAAGTTCTTGGCCAGATTATAGTCAAGGTCGACATCATCGCCTCCCCCCTCTTCCTCTTCCTCCTCGTCGTCCATATCATCATCATCATCACTCTCACCATCCGCCGCCGTGGTCTTGACTATTTCTCGAGTCTCGCCCTTCGATGACCCTTCTTCTACCTCACCCTTCAATGCTCTCGTGGAGGTCTTGGTCTTGGCCTTTTGAGGGTCTAGCTGTAGTGCGCCATACGAGTTGAGTTCCTTTTCCATCTGAGCCATGAGAGCTTCGAGTTCCTCTTGCTCATCCTTGCCCATGTCCACGTCCTCGTCTTTGCCCTTGCCCTTGCCCCGAGTGTCAGGATTTTGCGAGGCGGTGGTCTCGGATTTTGTTGTTGTTGAGGTTGGTGTTGTCGGTATCCCCATCATCTCTCTCATCATTCTTGAGAACTGCTCTTCGTCGAAACTCACTTCCTTGTCTTCGTCCTCGCTGTCCATATCGATATCTGAGTCCTCCTCGTCGTCGTCGTCATCATCCTGGTCCATCTCATCAATCTCAGCCCCATCCAGACCTGCTGTTTCGTCATTCAGGAATGCCTCGAATCGGGAGACGATCTTTCGTAGATCGGCTTGTGTCGTGGAATCTCCGAAGGTCGGTATAGCGTCCCCTCCTGCACCTCTGTTATCTTCACCAGCCTTCTGCTGCTGTTGCTGCTGCTGCGTCTGCCCTTGCCCCCCACCTCCAGCCAACTCCCTCTCAAAATCCGCAAAATCAATATCCATCCACGTATCATCATCCTCCCTATCCACATCCTTCCACTTCCTGATCTCCTCATCAGTCGGCAGCGCCGCCTCCTCGCCGTCCTCCGCCAGATCCTCAAGCAACAGCGCCACCTCCCTCGCAACACGACTATCGCTCTTCTCAGCGCCGCGAGCAAGGATCTCAAAGCCCGTGGTGAGCTTCATGCCCATCTCCAACCTGGCGAGCGTTTGCAGCTTCTGGAGGGCTTGCTTGCCCTCGTCCTTTTCAGACACAGACAGTCCTCCTCCTTCGTTAAGCTGCGCAGCCTGGAGGAAGTGCTCCCTCCATACCGGCGGCGGATCAAAGTGCTGGGACTTGAGCTGGGCGTAGAGGACCTTGGTGAGGCGAACGCTGATGGTCACGAGGTCTGTTGGTGGGAACAGCAAGGAGTCCGGAGTGGGGGAGAGAAGCGGTTTCAGCGAGGCGGGATCGCGGAGGTAGAAGGCCTCGATAGCGGGGGCGACGGCTTTTGGGCGCTCGTGGAGGATGTAGGCTAGTTTGCGAGGGATGGTGACGAGGGTGTGGTGGAGGGAAGAAGCGATTTGGCCGGGATATTTCTCTAGGCGGTAGAAGGCTTCGGCTTCGATGAGGGGGGAGTGGATGAGGATGTTGGGGTTGGTCCTGATTATTGAGAGGGCTTCGTGGAGGGAGATTTGATGATGGGCCTTGGAAGAAGGTGGCGAGGAGGAGGAGGAGGAGGAGGAGGAGGGAAGAAGGGGGATGATGCGCAGTTGGCCGCGGTTGATCCATACGCGGTTGGTGTCATTCTCGGGGCTCAGCCATTTGGGGAGGACTTTGGCGGCTTCGATGAGGAGGAATTCGCCGTCGCTGTCGAAGATGCGGATCCATAGGTTGGGGAAGGAGATGCTTAAGGTTCGAAGAAAGTAGACTATCAACCATTCGTCTTCGACATTGTCCCCATAATCAGTACGGCCATGGAGGTAAACCAAACCTGCATTCATATGTTCCGTTAGCATGAGTGCCGGGATGATATGGTGTAACTGGAAGGTGTGGTAGCAAAGCAAGACATACCATTATCAATCCTCGTTTCAAGCTTCAAAGGCTCGCGTTGCCAGATGTAATCTTTGGTGAGCTCATCAAGCCTTTGAAGGGCCACTTTTCTGATTGTTTCCAGGCTCGAGAGCGTGGTTCTTTGGGCTTCAGGCTGATCGTTGATGATGAAGAGCATGTACTCAACACAGTTCTCTGGGAGGCTCATTTGGAAGCCATTGAAGGCGTCGTCTCCCGGCCTTGGCTCATTCGTGGACTCCATCTTTTCTATCGTTCTTGGAGTTTCTCCCCCTTCTCAACTTTGGAGCCTTCTAATGCCTGGAGGGTTTTCTCTTCACTGCATCACCTGCCGTTGATGGTACGATATGATTGAAGGATAACACAATCAAGCTAAAATACTCCAACCGATGAGACGACCATTACATTCGATATTGTTAGTTACTTCGGCAGTCAACCTCTTTTTTTTTTTTTGCTCAGACGTTGAGTAGGTCCGTGTCGTTCAATTGGTGTCTACCTCTACGTAAGGTATCTGACTTTTTTGTACAGGTCCGGACCCAGTACTTACACTAGTAAGTGGGACAGGTGGGGGTAGGCAGGTACCATGTACCTACCTTAACCTGGCGAGCTACCCCAACTCCCCTGCCCATGTATCCCCCGCAAGTTCCCCAACTAACTCTGCCAGCCCCCACCAGCCTGGTGCGTGATCCCGTGACTTCGCTCTAACATCCGACGCGCCTGTGTACCTCTAGCGAAGAAGCCCGCTAATGGGACTCCGAACCACAGGCGCTAAGTGGGGCGGACGGGCCTGTGTGGTGGACTCCCCGCGTTGGCACGCGTTTTCTACTTCCTCGCACACACACTGCCTGCAGTAGGTGTTGATGGCAGATGCGTATTTGGAGTCTAGAAACTTGAAAGGACACACTCAAAACCAGATTCAAAAATAGACGGAGGGCAGCGCTCAGCGCTCCTCGATATCTCTTTTTAAGTTGATCCAACATCCATCATTATTGATTAACATTCCTCTCGAAACAACCTTCTTCCATCTTGGGTTCTTTTTTCCTCCCACCCTCTCTGGTTCTTGCCCAGGATCCTACCTACGAGCGGCTGGGTACAGCCATCCAGCATTTCCACCATGCCAGCGCGAACACTCCTCGACGCTGAGGCCAGCGCCGAGTCCTCACGAAAACGTCAACGGCCGGCGCCCACGAGCGATGACAGCGAAGGAGAAACCGCTACGGTAAGCGATACAAGCCTTGTCCATCTACACGCCGACCTCAATACATCTACATATCTGCACGCCGCCTGAGACCCAGAAGTTTGCCTGCTAACATGCTACACAGCGCTCCAATGCCAACCAGGCCAAAAGAGCCCGTGTGGCCACCGCTCGCCACGCGACTCCAGCCGATGATGACGACGCTGATGTCGACGATGAACGAGGTCATGCAGCATCACCGGACTCGCCCCCCAAAACACAGTACGAGTTGATGCGTGACAATAACTTTGAGCATCTGCAACATCAGGATGCCGACGATCAGCGAGCCACCCAGAGACTACGCTTCAAACCTAACAGGCTGGGAGACAACGCGGTGGCCGATAACGGCATCTTGCAAAGCATCACATGCATCAACTTTATGTGTCACACACGACTACACTGTGAACTCGGCCCGCTTCTCAATTTCATCGTGGGTGAAAACGGAAGTGGAAAGAGCGCCATCTTGACCGCTATCACTCTTTGTCTTGGTGGCAAGGCCAGCTCAACCAATCGCGGAGGAAGTCTCAAGAGCTTCGTCAAGGAGGGCACCGAAAAGTCTGTTTTGATTGTCAAAATCAAGAACCAAGGCCAAGATGCCTACAGGCATGATGTTTACGGGGATTCCATCAGCGTCGAGCGTCACTTCTCCAAGTCCGGCAGCAGCAGCTTCAAGGTCAAGACGGCCACTGGCCAGATCGTATCTACCAAAAAGCAGGAAGTCGAGGAGATCGTCGAGTACTACGCCCTGCAGGTGGATAACCCCTTGAACGTGCTTTCTCAGGACAATGCCCGTCAGTTCCTCAACTCGTCTACCAAACAGCAAAAGTACAAGTTCTTCATCGAAGGTGTACAGCTGCAACAGCTGGACAATGACTACAGGTTGATCGCCGAGAGTCTGGAGCTGATGGAATCCAAAATTCCCGACCAGGAGGAGCGGGTCAAAGCAGCCGCGGAGGAGCTCAAACGAGCAAAGAGCTTCAAGGACGCTATTGACGGGAATCGCAAGCTGAGAGCCAAACAGCATCAGCTTCGGAGCCAGATGTGTTGGCTCCAAGTAGTCCAAGAAGAGGCCAAGCTGACAAAATTGGACGAGAAGATTGCCCAACTTGCGGATCAAATGGCCGAAGCAGACCGTCAGAGAAATGAAAAGGGCGTCGATTTGGAGCGCGTTGAAAACCAGATCCAGGCCTTTAAGCAGAAACTGGAGGAGGCTATCCAGCAAAAAAACGAATTCGAAGAGCAGGTGGACGAGAGGAGGAAGAAAGCTCAAGCAATCAAGAATGAGCTGGCACAAATCCAAGCAGACGAACGGGCAGCCCACCAAAACTTGAGAAGTGCACTCACGACAGTAAAGGACTTCGAAGAAAAGGTTGCGGCCGAAGAAAGGCGCCTCGAGGAAGCCACAGGAGAGGCCCTTCTTTCCAAAACTCGGGAGCTTGAGAAGGCAAAGGAGCACGTTACAGAAGTCGAGGCCAAGATTTCCAAGGCCAAAGAGGACGAGAGAGACCTGCTAAACAAAGTAGACGAAGCCAAAAAAGCCCGAGAAGCCAAGGCCGCCGAATGCTCTCGCAAGAAGGACGAAATCACCGTAGCGGAACAGGAGTTAAGGACCTCCAAGAAGGATCAAGGCTCTATCTATGCAGGTTATGAGCCCAAACTTCCTGAACTACTAAAGATGATTGAGAAAGAGACCAGGTTTCAGAACAAGCCGGTGGGGCCGCTTGGTGCTCATATCCAGCTACTGAAGCCGGAGTGGTCTTCGATCCTGGAAAAGACGCTTGGAGGCATCCTCAATGCATTTATCGTCCAGAGCATGGCCGAACAAAAATTGCTTCAGGGCTTGATGAACAGACTCAACATCCGCCAGTGCCCGGTATTAATCGGCAATCGACATCCCCTTAACACAGACGGCAAAGAGCCCGATCCTTCCTTTGACACCATTCTCCGTGTGTTGAAGATCGACAACATGATGGTGCGCGATCAGTTGATCATCACCCAAATGATTGAGCAGGTCATACTGATACCACAGCGTACCAAAGCCGAGGATGTCATGTTCAGTGGAGCACGACCCCGAAACGTCAAGGCCTGTCTGACTTTCCATGACAGAAAGAGGGACGAAGGAATCCGACTGGTTGTCAACAACAGCGGAGGTATGTCGACTTCTCCTGTGCAGCCCCAACGTAACCGCCCCCCACGGATGAAGGCGGATGTCGGCTCGCGGGTTGCTTATCAAAAGGAGACCTTGCGACATCTGGAGCAAGAGTATAGCGTACTTGAGCGTGAACATCGTCAACTGCAACAAGAGGTCCAGAAGTGCGCTAGCAACCTCACCAAGATCCAGAGAGACAAGAAAACCTTCGACAGCGAATTACGGCATGCTAGGGTTCAAGTTGAACAAGTGCAATATCAACTTGATGAATACGAAGGCGGCGATTCTCGCCTTACAGGCTTGAAGGATGAATTGGCTGTTGCCAAGGAAAAACAGGAGGCTTGCGGGCTTCAGTACGGCACCCTTCGGTTAAGGAAGGATGAGAAGAACCACGCATCCTCAGAAGCCCAGGCTCAGCTCACGGAAATCAAGAAGGAATTTGAGAAATACGAAAAGGAGGTGAATAAATTGCAGGAGAAGAAGGCCAGGCTGGAAGATGTGCAGAAGATCAACCTCACAGAGGTCAATGAAGCTCATGCCTCTTTCGACATATTCAAGGGGGAAAAGGAGGTTGCCGAGAAGGATCGTGAAAAAGGTGCCGAAGAAGTCGCCGCTTTCACAAAACAAATCATTGAAGCATTAGGGAGTGAAGAACGAGCCCACGTTAACCCAACCGACAAGTACGAGGAGCTGGAAAAGCAATACCAGAATATCCAAAATCAACTGGAGAAAGAGCGACGTAAGAGGGGCATGACGGATGAGGAAGTTTATGCGAACCTCACGAGGGCGAAGGAGACCTATGATGATGCCAAGAGATCTCTTGAAGGCATCAAGACGGTCAACTCTCGTCTTCGTCGGACGCTGACCATTCGTCTCGAGAAGTGGCGCAAGTTCCAGCGATACATCTCGTCACAGAGCCGGGCGAACTTCATTTATCTTCTCAGCGAGCGTGGCTTCAGAGGCAAGTTGCTGCTGGACCACGAGCGGAAGGCTCTGGATCTGGTGGTCGAGCCTGACAAGACCGAGAAGAGGGCAGCCGGGAGGAACACGAAGACATTATCTGGCGGCGAGAAGTCTTTCTCATCAATCTGTCTGCTGCTGAGTATTTGGGAGGCCATGGGAAGCCCGCTCAGATGCTTGGATGAGTTCGACGTGTTCATGGACAATGTCAACCGTGCAATCAGCACAAACATGCTGGTGAGTACAATGAACAACAGCAGTGATGCAGACAAGCAAGGATATGCTAACACGGTCACAGATTACTGCTGCTCGTCGGTCCGTAAATCGGCAGTATATCTTTATCACACCGAATGCCATCGAGGGACGGAACACCCTCGATAAGGACGTCAAGATTATTCGGTACGTATCCTTCCCTTCTTTGCCATTACCTGTATTCGAACTAACAACGTCTGTCTAGACTGACGGATCCGCGGCAGAGGACGTTGGCCGACCACTGAACTGAGTACTCTTTGCCGTTAATCTTGTTTCTGTTCTTGTCTTGATCTCCATGGGTGGATATTTGAACAAGTTCTGTCAAAGTATAGGCAAGCGTTAAAACGGCGCAGAGAGGAGATGGCGTCTTGTATGGACTGATTGGGATGTCATGGCGCGTTTGCGTTGGTGTTTTCATAGCGTAATTCTTTTTGTCTGTGGCAAACATGTGGGCGCATTATAGAGATATCTAACCTTGACCATCTGGATTGTGTAAATGTTGTACAGTCTTTGCATGCGACGTCACCTTACAATGGAATTTTCTTCCCGAGTCTGACCTTTTCTTCTTCACCCGTCCTTTTGTCGTCTGTTTGTGAAGTTTATGGATGGTAAACCCGAATAGTCCTTCGAAGGCAGTCATCACTAGAGTTTCACTGATATGCGTACGCCTCGCGTCCTCTCTATGGACTTTCTAAAAGATTCTATATCCTGACACCCTTGCTCCGGAGCACATTGACGCCCGCCGTGGCAGTGAACCCAACCCACTCCCGCAAGTTTCTAAACACACCACCAACCTCATTCACCTCCCTGAGCCTGCGGTTCAGGAAAGCTCGGGTATCCATAAACTCAGGGGAGTGGTCGTTGGTCATAAACAGCTCGGCAGCGGCGTAAATCGTGGAGAGCGAAGCGCGCTTGGTATACCACGACGGGTCGACGGAGGAGTCGCCGGCGAGGAAGAGGATCTCATCCGAGAGCAGGGCGAGCTCCTTGAGCGAGGGTGGGACGTAGGATGGTTGTGCCATGATTGCTAGAGCCTAGATAGAGAGGTTGTGGTAACGTCAGTCCGTCAATGTAAGTTTGAACAGAATGATTCCAAACCAGCGAGCGGCCTTTGTTTGAAAAGCGAACGTGGTCGTCGCGAGTATTGAAGGAAAATGGGAACAACTAACCTCCTGCCACCGCCCAATAACCTGCGCATTCGCCAACAAGCGCTCCCACGTAACCGCCTCCACGCGCGCCTTGATCTCCCGCTCCGACAACCCGGGTCTAGCTCCCACGTGTCCCTCGCCCCCAAAGAGGTCACTTGCCCGAGCCGCGAGCCCCTCCCGCTGCTTGACCAGGTGGTACCGGATCAAAGTGAAGGCGCCCTCGGGCAGGATCGTCGGGCTGATGTCCAGGTATCCGGCATCGCGGGCGCCGGCGGCGAGCGCAGAGGAAGTGAAGCCGTGGCTAGGAACGTGCTGGTAGGCGACGCTGAGAATGGATTCCTCGACGGGCGTGAAGGCGGCGGGAGAGGACGGGTGGTCGTAGGAGTGGTAGGAGCTGCGTTGTTGGTGTTGTTGTTGCTTCGGGAGCTGTTGTATTTGGGGGCGTCTACTGCTGCCGTTTCCGCATGTGCAGTCGGAGCCGGTGGTGCTGGTGCTGGTGTTTAGGGAACGACGGGCAGTCGGCAGGGCGGGTGCCGCGGCGCGGATCGTGGAGGAAGAGGAGAGGATTTGCCGGGCGGCGCGGCGGAGGGGTATCGGTGATGGGCGCATCTTTACGGTCGGTAGTTCGTCAACCTTCTAGGTAACGGACCGCAACTTTGTTTGGAGTTGAACTATCGCGACTTCAATGAAGTGGAACGGAATGAGAGCTTGCCGGCCGGACGTGGGACCTTGGATGCGATAACGTTATCCTCACGGCCTCACGTGTTATGGGTCTGCTGCCCCACTTCATCACTGTCTCCATTTCTAACCCCATATTAAAATGCCCCTGGTTCCTGCCAAGACGAGAAAGGGCAGTTCGAGCTTCGAGGGCGGTTACTTCACGTCTTGCACCAGTCTTGACGACACTATCGATTCATATTTGGAAGTTGTCCCGGTATGGTGAGCAATGACCTGCGGGTGGATTTTTAAAGAAAGAATTTCGCTGTCGTATCACAAATTTATGACAGTGATGGAATCGGCGTTCGGGATAGCTTGAAGCACATCCTCCCCAAGATCAGTAGGGTGTTGTCCTTTCTGCTTACACCATATGAACAGGGCAAATGATAGTCAGTACCTCTCCTGGCTACAGTCAACCACTTGAATCGAAGCAACAAATATCGATATAACCTGTGTATGTCAGCGGACCAAGAGGGGCCATCGAGGTCTCGTGTGTGTGTGGGAGGTTCCAAAATGCAGCCAGGGAGCCATGGCTAGGATGAGAAACAATGGAGAAGTGAAAGTGCCATCGGCTGCTGCAATATAAGCAATCGGGAATACGACCGAACGATTGGTGGCTGTCCCTCTTCGACTATTCGATAATCACCACCAGAGCTGGGGCATTATTGGTTGCCGATTCAATCTCTTCCTGCAACAAAAATGTCCGGAATGCGTTGCCGAGTATATCCGTATGGTGTGCCATGGACATGCCATATCTCATGAGATATCCATCCATCTTGAAGCCAGCTTGTCCGTGGGTGGGTTGGGAGGCTCGCAGAAGACAGATCAGCTCTCTCTTTCTCCAGCACTATCTGGCGCCTGGCAAGCCTCTTCGCTGAATGGGAATGGCATTCCTTGTGGTCGAACTCCCCGGTAGATTGTCGGACACTCAACCCTCGTCCTGGCCTATGCATGGTTGCTCGTATCTTGCTTTGGTTCTCGGAGACACCGTCATATTCGGGGCATCTCCTCGTTCGGACATGGCCCCGCGGCCGCTCCATTCTCATCCTGGTCTCCGTTGCCGTACCCGAGAGAGGCCGTGGTCCAGACCCTTCGGCTTACGAAGGCTTGGCCTCATGGGAAGCCGTTTCCGCGCCGTGTGGCATCTTTTGCATAGTGCCTTTATTAGCCGGACCCCTCCTGCATTGACCGGTCTCAGTTTTCCAGTGGTTGGTTCAAGGATGAGAGTGGGGGGCAGGGATGACAGGAAGATAGAAGGAAACTCTCGAGAGAAGCAACTCGTTCATCCCGAGTGAGTCTTTTTCAATAATCGAGGTGCGTCCCTATGAAACCGTCAAAGTCCCCGCAGAGGTACACGCTCGGTGACATGTTGGGCGAAGAGGGTACTCCAGATTGCTCCTATTGTCAAGCTTCCCGGCTTCTTTCAGCTGTTCTCGATCCTCCCGGCTTGCTTTGATATGCATGACGGGCAGTGTTTTGGCATCCCCGAAGAGAATGTTCGGCAGGGCGTGGTGACCATTGGTTGCTCTGCTTCCGGTGTGCCGCGCTACCGCTGTTGTAATACCGCTTTTTTTCATTCGATTTAGATTCGCTCAGAAAGGGTATAGCGGGCCGCCATACCCTATCTGGGCATATAAGCGAGTGCCAGCCAGCTGGTTTACCCCCTGCCACCACGTTCAAATACCCACTCTGGGCGGGTCTTGCTTGCGATCGGCTTGGAAAAGTGGGCAGTACTAGACTACAGCTGGCTAGAACGAATTCAAATCGAATGAAAAAAAGCGGTACGGTAGTACAAGCGGCTCGAAAACAGGACCGCTGCTTGACGAGCTCTGAGGGCAGTCAGTCCCTTGGGAACACGAGCACCGCAAGGAGGGGCAGTTGTCCAGATGAGAGGGGTTGGGAGGCAGGCTGGTGGAATATCGAAACCAAGCCCAGCCGCCGAACCGCATCGAGCTCATGATTCGACCATGACTGCGTGTATAAGGAATCTCGCCAGCTTTTGCAAAATTCAATCCACTTCCGGATGGCTGTCAGCGGATTGAAGAATCGACCAGCGAGATTCCCATCCCTAAATTCGAGTACCTACTTACCACCCTCTCTGACCGACGGAGTACATCGGTCAAGTATAACCGAGTCGCCTGCCTTTCTAATGGCATCCCTCGCTTACGAGCATCCCTTGATGGCCGTCAGGTCCATGGTAGTGTGAATGTATACCTGTGGGGGGCTCGTGGAAAGAGAAACAGCCCGCTCGTTCGAGATGAGGCTTGAACGTGGATGGCTTCATACAATCCACAACCGATGATGTCAAACCTGAAGACCTCCAGCCCCGTCTGGCTCCCAACCCGGACCGGGACGGACGTGACAAGTGGAGATGCGGAGCCTGAGGATGGCCCGGATTGGAATCCGAAGACTATATAGCCTAGGTGGATGGATCATGGAACTGATGCTTAAAGTAGGGTGGACTGCCCTCACTCGGTGGGCGCCGAGTATGTATGGTGCTGTAGGGTTCTCTTGTTTAAAGAACATTGGCATACATTGAGGTTGTGTTCAAAATATTGATACGATCAACACTTTCTCAAAAAAGAAGACAATTGTAGTTGATCCTTCAGACGACGACAGACCCAGAGGATGGTCCTCTATCCACTGCGGACCTGGTTTTCATTTGTATAAAAAGTGAAGCACTTTGAGGTGGTTTCAGCACATTTCTTCCTGTTCTAGACTCGAACAAGCGGAACAGGGATATCGCACGTTTGACTCGGGCAGTGGGCCTTCCTTGCAATGACAAGCTGGAACTGAAGCCTACAAGTCTCAGATGCTGTGAAATTTCCACTTTGGTACAGAAACACTTTTCCATCCTCCAGGACTTTCGTGGATTTGCTTGAGACAAGACAGCCTTGGGTAGAAATCGAAACGTAAAGCCATCCGTACAAAGCTGTGATCGATCTTGTACCAAGAACCTACTGCCTCCTCGAGTGAGCCGGCGGACTTGTCGTCGAGGGTCGAAGTTTTCGGAAATGACGACAGCCTTGAGATTCCGTATCTGTTTCCTCCATAACTGAGGCCAGGCACCGACCTAGTACTTGGTATAGTGCTCTACCTGATCCATACTCTTTGTTTCTTGGACTCCTACACCACCAGCACTAAGTATTAGAAGTTGAAAAATCGGTAAAGGCAAGCCTGAAAGAATTATGAAAGCAAGGAGCAAGGCCCGTAGAACTAGTAGGTAGAGTAGCAGGCTGCTTTGTCGACTTTATGTACCGTCGAGGTTATCTGGGGCAGGGAAAGGTAAAAAGTGGACCTAGACTGTATGCATGTACTATGTACCTGTACCTCACTTGCACTGTCCGGTCTGACTCCCTCTTAATAGCCCCACTGCATTTGGTTTGCACCAGGTTGTACCTAGGTACCTCACAGCGACAGCCAGAATGTCCACCGATGAGAAGTCCGTGCATTATGAGTGGGCAACAAGGCCAGCCTTCGAGGGGCGTGCTTTCACTCATCCCACCGCACCTGGCCCGGCTGCGCATCCACACAAGACACACAACATCACTGTCAGTCAACCGGTCACGGCATCGACACAACTTCTGCGGTCCAACGCCCACCGACCTCAACTCCTTCTTGATCCCGTCCGGAAGACCGTCCGCAACCTACACCCCCTCGACGACTTGGCCCAGGGAGACTCCACAGTCAACGTCGAATTCTTGTGGTGCCAGCCTGCGTGCCTCCAAAGGTTGCAGGTACGTAGCTCTCTCTACCCTCTCTACCCGAGCCTCGAGGTGACGCGGCGTGAATGCGATGTGCCTTGTCAGAGTAAAGGAAGCCCGGTCGCCTACACTATCCACGGCATCGCATTGAAGGCTGGACCTACCTCTAGCCAGTCCCATTGTGGTACCTGCGACCAGTACCACCTCACGTTCTGGCCAACCTCGTACCCTTTGCCCTTCCATTGCCCTCCATACCTACAACTGACTCTCTGTACCCCTTCCGTCACGAACAATTTCCTGACCCTTTTGGGCTCTTTGCCTGTCTAGCCCGCTCTCGTCTGCCCTGCCTTGTTCAAGCATCGCCCTCGGCTACACTCGTCCACGACCGACCTACCGCGTCGCCCCAAAGTGCGCCAGCCTGCGCAGATTCCCGTTCGGCCTTGCAGCCCACCACTCAATCCCTCCCTCGACGTCTACCTACTACCTACCACAGCCAACAGACGCACGTCTGCCCAAATCCCATCTTTCCTCCATTTGCGCCAGAGTCGCAGTGTACCTCGACTGAACCCGTTGTCCCCCAACCTCAGCAACGTTCAAGCGCTGCTGTAGCGAACAACATAGCACCACACACCAGGACAGCACCAATCGTCGCGTTCCCGACGACCTCGTCCTACTCGAGCGGCTAAGTTGCCCGAAAATTTTTCTCGATTCCTACCGTACCTGCCTCGAACAGGACATATCAGATTCAGTTGTCATGGGTAAGTTCCAGTCTGACACCAAGCCAGCCAGCACCGCGGCCGGTCTCTTCTCGCTGTCTCTCCAGTGTCCTGAAGCTGGCTGCCGTGCGCTTCTCGGCTTTCTCCATATCCTCCCTCACAGTCTCACACAGCTTGGTCTCACCCAATCCATCCCACCTTGGAGCTCTCTGGCGGTGGCGGCCGAGACGACTCCTCATTTTCACGTTGGACTTCCCTTTTGTTTCCCCCGGCAATCTTACCCGATCACTCGCCCTTTACCCCTCCTCACCACTCGGGATGGCTTGTCGCGTCTAGAGGCACCAGTCACCTCGATAGCCAGCCTTCTCGGTCCCATGTTGCGTTTGTATGAATCTCGTTGTCGGGAGCACTAGGCGATGCGTCGATGGCGTATCACGCCAGCTTTGTAACCTCAATGAGAGCATTCAGTCGCAACGGCATTTGATCTTGACCAAAAGTCACCTGGCGGGCCCGGTTTGCGAGTTGTGGTTGGGTTGTGCTCCCGACTTCTCTTGGCCAAGTGGAAGCTCGCGTTACCCTTCCCGCCGTTCGCAGACGGGGGCTGCAGTATTGCTGCAGTGACGTGCCCGCGTTCTTTGCCTTGCGTCGCCTTGTCCTGCCTGCCCTCAGGCTACATATATACAATTGGCACCCCTCCCTCCCCCTCCCCCATCCTCCTGCACGTCTTCCCTTTCCGGTCCACAGTGGTTGGAATCATCAGGTTATTCTCACCCCGCCGCATCACAAGCTCTCACACTACCTACCTCTCTCTACCTACCTTTCCTACGCCCTGTGTCAATTCCTTGCGCGGGCTGCTTTCCCCCCAGTTGCCACTGGTCACTTCATTTCTCCCACAACATCCCCATACTCCGCCCCCTCCACCTTTCTTTCTCTCGTCTCCCCACTTAACCACTTACATCGTTCTACTTTATCCATTTGGTCTAACCTAGTTTCTCTTTCTACAGCCGACGCAGCAGGAGACACTTATCGCCCTGTAAGTACCACGCATTCAAGTTGCTCATTCCGTCCCTTTCCCTCGTTTTTTTCAGCGCCGGCCTGTTTCAGTCAGCGTCCACAATCATTTCACCAGTCCGTCACGCTCGTGACGCACCCCTCCTCTTTCTTCACAAGCACCGCGAGGGTATAGCATCTTTTTCAAGCCCTTACCTCGAAGGATTCGCGTCAGTCCCCCGATTTGTGGCCTCGATCAACTAGTCTAGTCTGATCGACTTGTCCTGGCGATCTTTGGTCAAGCTTCCATCCTTGACTCGCATAAGCTAGGAGCTAGCAGTGGGGAACGAGTACCCTTCTGGCCGTCACAACACGCAACCACCTGCAGACCCGGTCACTTGCAGTTCACTTTATTCCCCTCGTCCTTTGTTCTCCAACTTCCACACACTTCTTTATTTTCCTCTCTCCAGACCTTGCACTTGTTCATTCGCTGACGACGACCTTCCTCAAAGCGTGAGAGGTCCCGTTCCCCCAGACGTGGACGTTCTAGAAGCCCCAATACTCGCCGTTCATATTCGCCCCGTGACCGTTCGCGGAGTCGCCATCGGAGAAGAAGCCGCACCCCTATGACTGGCCAAGGTGCGCCTGCTGGAGGACAAGGAACTGGTTACAACGGACAACCTCATCGAACTTTCGAAGACCGCGCCGCTCATCGTGAACAAGTCATGAACAACATTCGGGAAACGTCGCAGCAGGACCGCCGCGTCTACGTCGGCAACTTGTCCTACGACGTCAAATGGCACCACCTCAAGGATTTTATGAGACAGGGTATGTCGTGAGGCAAGAAGCAAGGATCGGGCCCCATGTGTTGCTAACCCGTTATTAGCTGGAGAGGTGCTCTACGCCGATGTGTTGCTGCTTCCTAATGGAATGTCGAAGGTGGGCTATGAGTGATTTGCGTTCGGCTACTGGTTCTTTTGTGGCTCCCTTCCTTTCGGTTATTTTTGATGGATTGTTGGATTGACGGGTTGGGACATCTTTGTCCATGGAATTTGTAGGGATGCGGGTAAGTCAAACTTGGAATCCATCAACCACTTGCTAAGAGACTAGATACTGACATCACGTTCTTGACTAGAATTGTGGAATATGCGACCAGGGAGCAAGCCCAAAACGCCGTTGCTACCCTGAGCAACCAAAACCTCATGGGCAGACTTGTCTATGTTCGCGAGGCAAGTTCACGCCTGGACTATCGTCAGAATAACCATATACTAAACCTGTTTTCAGGACCGTGAGGCCGAGCCTCGTTTCGGCCCCCCCGGAGGAGGTGCCACCCGCGGTGGTTTTGGTGGCGGCATGGGCCCCAACGGATATGGAGCTGTTCCCGGCCATGCTGGCCCCGGCGGCTTCGGTGGTGGTCCCATGGCTGGTGGCGGTGGTCGCCAGATCTACGTCTCCAACGTTTGTTCCATCCCCCATTCATACTCCTTTCCATCTTGAGGCACACTAACCAACCTTTCCCACAGCTGCCGTACAATGTTGGCTGGCAGGATTTGAAGGATCTGTTCAGACAGGCTGGTAAGTTGCCAACTCGTTTTAGGCTTCAGCGTAACCTGCAGCTTTCATTGCTAACTTGTTATAGCCCGTAACGGTGGTGTTATTCGCGCTGACGTTCATATCGGACCTGATGGACGCCCGAAGGGATCGGGTATCGTTGTCTTCGAGACCCCGGATGATGCTCGCAACGCCATCCAACAGTTCAATGGTTACGATTGGCAGGGCCGTATGCTAGAGGTTCGCGAGGATCGCTTTGCCGGTGCAGGCATAGGTCCTGGTGGCTTCGGCGGACGTGGCGGCTTCGGCGGCGGCCGTGGCGCTTTCGGCGGTTTCGGTCGCGGTGGCTTTGGTGGTGGCCGCGGTGGCTTTGGAGGTGGCTTCGGCGGTCGTGGCGGCTTCGGAGGAGCTCCCGGTGGTGCCCCCAGCTTCGATGCCAACCAGCCGGCTGCTCAGCCCAACCCGTTCACTGACTTCGCTACTTCTGGTACTGAAAGGTCCGAGGTCATTTACGTCCGGAACGTAAGTTACACTTGACTCTTGTGCCCCCCCCCCCATTATCCGATTTTCTCTGACTTGTCCGTTCTCCTTTTAGCTCCCCTGGTCGACCAGCAATGAGGATCTCGTCGAGCTCTTCTCTACTATTGGTAAGGTAGAGCAGGCTGAGATTCAGTATGAGCCCAGCGGTCGCTCTCGCGGCTCTGGCGTCGTTCGCTTTGACAATGCCGACACCGCCGACACCGCGATCCAAAAGTTCCAGGGTTACCAGTACGGCGGACGTCCTCTCGGCCTGAGCTTCGTCAAATACCTTAACCCTGGTGCTGGCGGCGACAGCATGGATACCGACCCCCATGGTGGCCTGACACAGGATCAGATTATGTAAACTGATCTCCGAATATCGCGTCAGTCATACTGGTTGATGCGACAGATTTCTTTTGACAGTTTGGGATTTTTCGTTTGGAGGTGTGTATCATATGACTGGATTTAAGCCTGCCTTCGATGTGGCACTCGGTTCAATCTTTTCCATTGCACTACTTGTCTACGGACAGGTGGCTATGGTCAGGGATTTAGTGGTCGAGAGCGTTGGCCTGGGATAGGGCAGTAGTCTGAAGGGCCGCATGACAAGCATGTGGAGGATGGTGTGGGAGAAAGGAAGTTGAGGAAGTTAAATTTGCAGACATGCTTTCCCTTGCCGAGTTTAGCACTTGGGAGAAGTGAGCCCTACTGAAACTCTTTGTTTTTCTTGCGGCTGATTACTGGCTCTCCGCCTTTTTTCAGCAAGTGGTTTTCGGTTCGGGCCCTCAAAATGGACAGTTGATCTTTTTTTCACCTACATCACCGCCTTTAGACTGTACTCTCGAAGAGAACCTGGCAACATCTCCGTTGACCTTGAGATCAAGATCGAACTTTAAACATGCAACTCTCAGTGGCCTGAATGAAAGCCACAACATGGTGAAACCAAGGTGATGTGACGTGATCTTGGTGTATCGTGGTGATGAATCGAATTGAAAACGAGTAAGCCGGCTACCCCTTAGCTGATGCTCGTGAGAGCGGCTTAAATGTATCTGTTCCTGAGGTCAGGATCTGGTAGCTGCTGCTTCACCTGGGCAGTCTTGTTGTCTTCCAAAAGGATAAATGATAGCTGGGCTAATAGGACTCTTTGGATCGAGTCACTCATACGAGTACTCCATCCACGACTCTCCTGGTGATCAAGTCGACAACCTAAAACAGGATCGTGAAGGCCAGCCAGCAGAGTTGAAACGAGCGTGTGAACGCTGTCGATTTGGCTCGTTCTTATTTTCCTCTTCGTTGCTTCTCTGTCAAGGCACAGAAGTTGTTGTCTCACGCTTCTTCATTCATTCATCTGATGTTCCCCCTTTCCCCTCCATCTCCATAACCACTAGGGCTCCAGACTTCCAGCGGCAGGACTGGACCTTCACACCGGGACCATGTAATCTCCCTAGTTTGCACCTTTCAACAACTCCAGTAGCTTACGTGGTAGGTGTGCTGAGAGCCAGAAAACGCGTGGTATTTTCGTAGGCATGCAGCTGGCACTCGAGTTCAACTCCAGGCTTGGGCAGCCCAGCTTTTTTTCTTTTTTGTTCTGACTTGAACCAAGGTATTCCACCATACCAACTTGCGGACATTACAAAATTCGATATGGGTACTATCATACAGATCTCCCCCCGTTAGGTCTAGGTACGCACAAGAAAGAAGATAAAAAAGCAACGATGTGATTTGCGACGCTTCGAAGTTTGAATCACGGAATAGCCATCATAGAAGTCCCACCCGCACCAACACCAGGGCCTCCAGCGGTGGTAGAGGGACCCTTCTTCTTCCTCGACTGCTTTTTCCTCTTGGTCCTGTCTCTCGGCTTCAACGCACCCATGCCCTTCTTGCACACATCGGCGTACCGCCCGTAAAAGGCCTCCAGGTCGGCCGGCTCAACGATGGTGGAGAGCTTGACCTTTTCCTTCCTCCTGTCCTTTCCCTTTGCGTTGGTGGCGCGGATGAGAACTGGTAGCGGGGTGGCCGGGTTGAGGTCGGTGAGAGGGTCGGTGTCTGTGGATTGGGAGGGGGTGTTGTAGGATACTGTGGGAGGGATTAGCTTCGGTGGAAGTGAAGGTAAAAAGGGGAACCGTGATGGTTCTCGTGAGGATAATAAGGCTCGCCGAGGCGTCTCCAATCAGGGCCAGTTCCGGTGTAGGTACACGTACGCCTCTTCTGTACTAGGTTGATGGTTCCATGATCTTGATTCTTCCTATAGTCGAACAGCTCGGTGAGCTTGGAGAAGAACTATAGTAAGTTGATATTTCAGATTAGCATGGTCTCTTTAGGTAGGATTCACAGAAGTCAATATTGTATTATAATACCTCGTCGTGGGTTAAATGGCCCATGATGCCCGGTTGATTTGCTTCAAAAGGCAAGCTAACAAATTGGTTGATGAGTGATTGTGAGGGCAACCTGGAATGATTGATGTGTGCCAACGAGTGGCAGCTTTCCCCACTGTTGGCCAGCTCCCGTCTGTTGGAGTGAAAGTGGAATGTCACTGCTCCATAAAACCAACCCGTGGGGCCTAAGGTCTGGAGATCCGCTTCTTTTCTTGGCGCTTTTGGCCCCGCATTTCCACAAGCCTGGAACCTTGAACCCGACCGATAAGCAAAAAAATATCCGATAACGACAGCAAGGTCCCAGTCGCGCGCTCTTCTACGCAGCTGCGAAAGGGTCCCGCAAAGTTTGAAGGTCTTACCAACAAACACATCTACACCTCCCCACGCACATATCACGACATGGCACCCTCTAGGAGGATAAAGGCTCCAAAACTGCCTGACAACCTTCTGAAGGAGCTCGGCGTAGAAGGTGAGTGAGCATGCTCCATGCGCCCACACAGCCATTGCCATTCCTGCCTGGAGAACAAGGTTCTCGGACGAAATTCTAACTATCACAGAACAATCTTACGGAGGTCGCAAGAATCAATTTCAATCAAGAAAGGATCGTCGCAAAGCAGAGAGAACACAGAAAAAGACACACCGCACCTCGTCCACGAAAAGCTACCATGCCGAACGCGCGGTACCCCCGAAAGCACAGAAGAAGGTCGACGCCGCATCTACGAAGGAGCCCAAGCCCATCTTGAAGAAGGGAAAGAAACAACAATTGGAGGAGGAGGAGGAGGAAGATGTTGATCTCGACGAAGACGACGACGAGGGTTTTGATGAGGAGGAGGATATTGATCTCGACGAGGACGACGACGACCTAGACCTCGACGAAGACGAAGATGATGACGGCGAAGACGTGGACGATGAAGAGGAAAGCGATGTCCCAATAGTATCCAAACCGAAGTCACAGCCAAAAATCTCGAAAACCGTCATGGAACGATTGGCGCAAGACGACAAGGAGATCGCCGACCTCGAAAAGAAGCTCGGCCTCAAGGGACGCAAATCGCTTCCCAAGTCCTTCCAGGAGGATGGTCTTCTTCACCTGCTAGAAGGCCTCCCTGGCGTAGACGACGAAACAAGCGAGAAAAGGAAGCGGAAGTCTGAAGCGGATGAGTGGCTTGCGGCGAAGAGGAGGAAAGCGGAAGAGGCGATGAAGAAGACGAAGGAACCCGAATTAGACGAGGAAGAAGAGGAAGACTCCGAACTGGACGAAGAGGACGATGGCTTGGACGATCTATTAGAGGGGTTGGACTCTGACGGAGAAGACGACGATGTTGATCAAGACGAAGACATGGACGACGAAGAAGATGGGGAAAGCGACATCTCGGGCGAGGATGAGGATGATGATGGTTTTGGAGGGTTCGACGAGGACGAGGACGAGGATGACGAAGAACCCGACGATGACGAAGAAACCGTACAAAAGCCGCCAGAACGAGTCCGCGAAAACCCATACGTTGCGCCTACGACTGGGCAGACGGTAGCAAAATACGTACCACCATCCAAGCGACAAGAGGCAGGCTCAGACGCGGAGTTGGTGGCCCGGATTCGCCGTCAAACACAAGGTCTCATCAACAGGATGACAGAGTCCAACCTGTTATCCATTATTATGGACTTTGAAAAGCTTTACCGCGACAACCCGCGACAACATCTCACGTCAAACATTGTCGATCTCCTACTCATCCAAGTGTGCGAGCCAACGACGCTGCCTGATACGTTGCTCGTTCTTACCGCCGGTTTTGCTACTGGTATCTTCAAGGTGATCGGCATGGACTTTGGCGCACAACTGATTCAAGAAGTGATTGAGCGATTCGACAAACATTACGAGGAGGCTAAGGAAGCTGCAAAGGAACGGCCAGACGTACCAAAACAGACGTCCAACATCATCACCTTCCTATCCGAACTCTACAACTTTCAACTCGTGGGCCCCAACTTGCTCTTCGACTTCATTCGAGTCCTTCTGGGTGATCTGTCGGAGCTAAACGCGGAACTTTTACTCAGAATTGTGCGCATTGCTGGCCCAGCCCTCCGACAAGATGACCCTATGTCTCTCAAGGATATTGTTACCCTTATCCGCCCGGCTGTTGCCAAGATCGGAGAGAAGAACCTCAGCGTCAGAACTAAGTTCATGATTGAGACCATCAACGACTTGAAGAACAACAAGATGAAGACAGGACTAGGCGCTTCCGCCGTTCTCACGGATCACACAACCAAGATGAAGAAGCTTTTGGGCACCCTGAAGACCAGCAAGACGTCCGAGCCTTTGCGAATGACCCTTGCCGATATTCGCGATGCCGACAAGAAGGGCAAATGGTGGCTTGTAGGCGCTAGCTGGGCGGGCAAAGATAAGGACGGTGACAAGAAGCCCTCGACTCAAGACGACGTCATCCAGGATAACGTTGACTCGGACGACGAAAGCTTTGTGTTGGAGGATGTCGAGGACATGCCTGACCTCGGAGAACTTGCCAGGGAAAACCAGATGAACACGGACGTGCGCCGGTCCATTTTCGTGTCGATAATGTCCGCCACGGACTACGAAGATGCCTACTACCGCATCCTCAAGTTGCGCCTGAACAAGGAGCGCCAGAGAGAGGTTCCATATGTGATCATCCAGTGCGCCGGCGCAGAGCAGGTCTACAACCCATACTACACCTTGGTGGCCAAGAAGCTTTGCGGGGATCGCAAAATCCGGTGGTCGTTCCAAGACGCGCTCTGGAAGCTATTCAGGCGTCTCGGAGAATCCGTTTTTGGCGACGACGTGGAGGATGAGGAGGACGAAGATGCAATGGACATGCGGCGGCTTGTAAACATCGCGAAGCTGTTCGGAGCGATGGTGGCAGGTGGATCGCTAGGGCTGGCGATTCTCAAATGCCTCAATCTGCCTTATCTACAGACCAAGACGCGGGCGCTAGTGGAGATCCTGCTGATTACCGTGCTTCTAGAAGCCGGAAAAGGCGGCGACAAGGGCCGGGATGAGACGATTACATCGGTGTTTGCGGCTGTAGAAGGGGTCCCCGAGCTTGCCAGGGGCCTGCAATGGTTCATCAAGAAGGTGGTCCGGAAGTCGGATCTCGCGGGAGGAGCGGCCAACACTAAGGTCGTCAAGGAGGGTTGCAAGACGGCCATGGCGGCCTTGGAGCATGCGTTGCTCGCCGCCGAAGGCTTGGTGGAATAGTTTTACTTTGTTGAATACCTGTACATAGATCGGATACCTTGGGGAATTGGAGTATAATTACCACGCATATGCAAAAGGCCAATAGCCAATTTCTTGACAAGTTCATGCGATGAGCGCAGGTATGTTTGATTTGATGTACTTAGCTAATTTCTACATCGAGTTGACATCTGGGAGAGCAATTGCTAGGGAGCGAGGGACCATTTTCCAGTCTGCGGGAGCCACGGAAATATAGTGGTCTGTAAATAGCACTCAATGATGTCATTCGGTTTTGCAACGAGGGGATGGGTCTTTTGAGGGTCGTCGGACGGGCGGGACTGTTGAATGTGGACATTGAGGAGGAGACAGATGGTTTGAGATGAAAAGCCATGTGTTCGGCCGCTGTTCCATGTTGGCCTTGAAACAAACTGAAGCCTGTAATCCGATCATACCGGCGTCTGAGGAGACGGTCAGTGACAGTTCGCTGCTTCTCCAATTCGGCAGCTGGGGTTATTTGGCGTTGACGGGCGGAGTAAGGAGGGGAGCAAAGAGGGGATCGACTGGGGAGACTTGAGCAGCCAAGCAATGTCAAATTGTCAAGCACAGGATGAGTGTCAAAAAAGGCTAGCGGGAGTGCGAGATGTCAAAATTTTGGGGTCAGCTGCGGCATGCCAAGCTATATCTGAATCTTGACCAATCATACGCAGTAAGTCGCAACGGGGCACAGTAACGTAAGGAGCACTTGGGGACGCCGGGTTTCAACGAAGCAGTCAGGGCAGCAGCGACAGGAGAGCGCGCAATGGAGGTACCTGGCTTGACCGCCCGTCCCGCTTAGCACTGGCATTAGGCAGTACGTACATTACCTAAGTAGCAGGCACTACCTCTACCTACTCCGCTCTGCGCTGTCTCGAGCGGGCAAGTTTGGGGACGGGCACGGTGGAAAGCGGGTGCCCTCTGAGCGATGTGAGCCTCTGACGGGCTGGCAACCCGAACAAGTGGGACTGGACATTTTTCGCTTCCCGTGAATAGCTTCCGCCTCGAATCCCAACAATTGTCTCTCGCGCGGCGTTTTGCAGTTCAGTACACACTCTCGACCTCTCACCATCGAATCGCATTCCCTGCTTCCCCGGGCATCTCTCTGTAGTGTGCTCGTTCGTTCGAATCTTTCCTGTTTCCGTTTTTAGTTTTCCATTCAGCACATATCTTTCACCATGCTGTCCCAGAGATTAATAGGCCGTGCTGCCGTCCGGTCCGCCTTCAAGCCCTCGGGGTAAGCTCAGCGTCCCGGTTGCCGGCGGATTCCCGACACCCTGTCTTCTCATGCGCGTACTGAGGCTGACGTGACGACCACATACAGGCTCCCCGTCGTCGTTTCTCCCAAGTTGAGGAGGACCTATGCGACCGAGTCTGGTCTGTTTGCCAATATCAAGAGCTGGTTCTCGTCAAAGGATTCTGGTCGGCTGACTGTTGATGTGCCTGTAGAGGAGAAGGATCTCGTCATCATTGGTGGTGGTGTCGCTGGCTATGTTGCTGCCATCAAGGCCGGCCAGGAGGGTCTCAAGGTGCGTCGCATCGCGAATCAACTACACCGCAACACCGACGAATGACGGCAATATCTGACTCCTATCTCGCATGTTTCCTGGATATAGGTCGCCTGTATCGAGAAGCGCGGCACCCTCGGCGGTACCTGCCTGAACGTCGGCTGCATTCCCTCCAAGTCGCTCCTCAACAACTCCCATCTCTACCACCAGATCCTCCACGACTCGAAACACCGCGGTATCGAGGTCGGCGATGTCAAGCTCAACCTTGCCCAGCTCATGAAGGCCAAGGAGCAGTCCGTCAGCGGTCTCACCAAGGGTGTTGAGTTCCTCCTCAAGAAGAACGGCGTCGAGTACATCAAGGGCACCGGCACTTTCGCCGATGAGCACACCGTCAACGTCAAGCTCAACGACGGCGGCGAGACCGCCGTCAAGGGCAAGAACATCCTTATCGCCACTGGCTCCGAGGTCACCCCCTTCCCCGGCCTCGAGATCGACGAGAAGCGCGTCATCAGCAGCACTGGCGCCATTGCTCTTGAGAAGGTCCCCGAGAAGATGCTCGTCATCGGTGGTGGTATCATTGGTCTCGAGATGGCTTCCGTCTGGTCCCGTCTCGGCGCCGAGGTCACCGTCATCGAGTTCCTCGAACAGATTGGTGGCCCCGGCATGGACCTTGAGGTCGCCAAGTCCATCCAGAAGATCCTGAAGAAGCAGGGCATCAACTTCAAAACCGGCACCAAGGTCGTTTCCGGTGACAAGACTGGCGAGATCGTCAAGCTCGAGGTCGACTCCGCCAAGGGTGGCAAGCCCGAGACTGTGAGTAGCTTTTGACACCCTGCAGACAATCTGTTCGTTATTGTGAGTTGTATAGCTGACATTGTTTGAACACAGCTCGAGGGTGACGTCGTTCTTGTCGCTATTGGCCGCCGCCCCTACACCGAGGGTCTCGGCCTCGAGAACATTGGCCTCGAGAAGGACGAGCGCGGCCGTGTCATCATCGACTCCGAGTACCGCACCCAGATCCCCCACATTCGCTGCGTTGGTGATGTCACCTTCGGCCCCATGCTTGCCCACAAGGCCGAGGAGGAGGCCGTTGCTGCCATTGAGTACATCAAGAAGGGTCACGGCCACGTCAACTACGGCTGCATTCCCTCGGTCATGTACACCTTCCCCGAGGTTGCCTGGGTTGGCCAGTCCGAGCAGGAGCTCAAGAAGGCCGGTATCCCCTACCGCGTCGGTACCTTCCCCTTCAGCGCCAACTCCCGCGCCAAGACCAACCTCGACACTGAGGGTATGGTCAAGATGATCGCCGACCCCGAGACCGACCGTATTCTCGGTGTTCACATCATCGGCCCCAACGCCGGTGAGATGATTGCTGAGGGTACCCTTGCCCTCGAGTATGGCGCTTCCAGCGAGGATATTGCCCGCACCTGCCACGCTCACCCTACCCTCGCCGAGGCTTTCAAGGAGGCCGCCATGGCCACCTACTCCAAGGCCATCCACTTCTAAGCAGCTGGAGCTTTTTGGCGTTGAATGGGTATGAGCACGGAATAATGTGCTGTCTGGATTTCTAGCAATGGGAGTATGGAAAGAGGATGGGAGGAGGTGTGTACTTGTACTGTAGTCACGGGCTTTCCCTTAAAGGTTTAATAGGGGATTTTCACTACGACATGCTAAATAGACGCCGCTTGTTGGTTGGACTAGGGTTGTTTGGCCTTGCGGGCCCTGGTTAGGCTCGAGACTCGATGAATACACGAGATTTTCAAAGATACAGAAAAGCTAGTTGCCAAATGGGAAGGCTGGGGGCTGCTGGTTATTTTATGTTAGCATTGAGTTATAGAAGGTTGTGGATTTTTGGATCACTCTTGTCTGTTCTCGGTGCCGGTGTCATTTTAACTTTTCAGTCCGCGTACCAATCTCATGCACACCAATCTTGACTTGCTTCTGGCGTTAGTGGTATTGCTTGGCATGACGTTATTCGTATCATACTACCTAGTAAACCACTGGCTATGGACCCTAACCCTCTATGTTTTCTATGTGTTCCAGTGATGGCTATTAAATATCCTCTGGACCTTTTGTACTTCCCCTATGTTCAATAACATGCAGGCAGTTGTTACCCTGAATTCCAAGGGTCCAGAGACCATTGACAATCAGCAATGTGGTTAGTTTCAGATGCAAATATGTTGGGGCTGGTTGTGTGGCCCCTATGTGGTGCAGCAAACGCCAAGATGGCCTGGAGCTGTTCCCATGCTCAAGCACCTGTGCAACTTTTTGGAATTTGGACCTACGAAACGAAAGAAGGATATCAGCCAACTTATCTATATGATTAGAAAAACTGTTATTTTGATAGTCCGAGGTACGCTGAGGTTGAATCCACAGTCAGTTTTCTTGTATCTTCTCATTTGGTAGAGATGCAGGCCGATGAAGTCTTGGTTCGTTTCGTTTCGCAGGTTTCCAAAAAAAGTTGTGTACACCACAACACACCACCCTTTGCCAAGACTGCACAGGTGCTTGAGAGCATGGGAATGGGTGGACGCGCCTTTGTGGACAGCGGTGAGGTTTCCACTCGCTCAACGCCAGTGGCCACCTAGGAATAATCTCATCCAATGTCACGTCGTCCCATGCCTGTTGTTTTGGGTAATGTCCCCTGTCCACCCGCATCAGAACCGATCTATCGAACCACTCACCAACCTCTGTGGCCCTATCCGTCCCACCTTCAACGTCCACCCACCCCCTCTATACGTACCTACTAGTATCAACAAGTGCCCTCGGAATTCTATCAACAAAACTGACCTTGGGTTTCCTGGACTATTGAGAAGACAACACCACAACCCTTCCCTGTCCACAATCTGAACCGAGACGGCGGGCGTTTTGGTCCATCGCTTATACACCCTATATTCTTTTGCTTAAAACAGAACGGCCTCGCGCAAACACAACAATGGCTTCTGAACCCCCACCATCACGCGCCGCTGCCGAAGATACCGGAACAGCTCAGCAGTCGACAGTCAAAACAACAGAGCGGACATACCCCATCATATCCCGCCGTGAGATCGAGGCCTTGATCTCAGAAGGTCGCCATATCATTATTGTCGACCAGTATGTCCTGAAGGTAGACCCTTGGGTCAAATATCACCCTGGTGGTGATAAGGCCATCAAGCACATGATTGGGAGGGATGCTACCGATGAAGTAAACGGGTGCGTACAACACACGATATCATGCACCAACCGAGATAGTCTGGATCTGATCCGGTGTATGCTTATTTGAAAATTGGTGAAGAAGGAGATGCTGACTTGATAATGTGTACTTTTTGGGGGCACTATAGGTTACATTCCCCAGAAGCAAGAGCTCAGATGAACAGATACAGAGTGGGAAGGATACAAGGGAGATGGAAGAATTTCCTACCGCCGATACAAGGAGGCAAGTTCAGGCCGAGAGGAGAAGGAGGAGAAGAGTGGGAGGAGGAGTCGCCAGAGATAAGGGCCAGAGCTGCGAGCTACGATGAGGACACTAGCTTCGGATCGTCATTCGCGAGTCAGGCTGCCTCTACCGCATCCGAGAGCTCACGGTCCCCTTCACCTGCCCCATCCCCGGTCTTTGATGGAGAAGCGGCTCCGGAGTCCAACCATCTCCGCGCCCGTACTAACGCCCGGTCCAAGTCGGCTATAAGCCGATCCGATTCCTTCACCTCAATTTCCTCCGTTGAGGATGAGAAGACCAGTGTCAAGGGCGCCGATGATGGCCCCAGGGATGGTATGGCCCATCTCGACGCTCTAACAAGGCAAGAGATTAGGCTCGATCTCGACAAGTACCCTCCCCTCGATGAGGAGACGCAAGATACTGTCATCCGGAAGTATCGTGAACTCAACGAGCGCATCAAGGCCGAAGGACTATATGACTGCAACTACGTTGCTTACGCCATCGAGGGATTCCGTTATACCCTCCTCTTCTGCGGGTGTCTTCTGTTTCTACGATGGGGTTGGTATGTCCCTAGCGCCTTCTGTCTCGGCTCTTTCTGGCATCAGCTGGTCTTCACTGCCCACGACGCCGGGCACATGGGTATCACGCACCATTTCCATGTCGACACTGTCATCGGCATCATCATCGCCGACTTCATCGGCGGCCTCAGTCTAGGCTGGTGGAAGCGCAACCACAACGTTCACCATATCATCACCAACAGCCCTGAGCACGATCCGGACATCGAACACCTGCCCTTCTTCGCCATCTCGCACCGTTTCTTCACTAACCTGCGGTCCACCTACTACGACCGCGTCCTGGAGTACGACATTTTCGCCAAATTCTTCGTCTCCCTTCAGCACTACCTCTACTACATCGTCATGATGTTCGCCCGCCTGAACCTCTACCGGCTATCGTGGGAGTACCTCCTCAAGGGCCAGGCACCCAAGCACGGTCCTGCGTGGTGGCACCGGCATCTCGAGCTTGCCGGCCAGGTCTTCTTCTGGTACTGGTTCGGTTACGGAATCATGTACAAGGCGATCGACGGCAACTGGAACCGCTTTGCTTTCTTCATGATCTCCCATGCGGTCACCAGCCCGTTGCACGTGCAGATCACGCTCTCTCACTTCGCCATGTCCACCTCCGATCTGGGCCCTCACGAGTCCTTCCCGCAGCGCATGCTGCGCACGACCATGGACGTCGACTGCCCGGAGTGGCTTGACTTTTTCCACGGCGGTCTCCAGTTCCAGGCTATTCACCACTTGTACCCGCGCATTCCTAGGCATAACCTCCGCAAGACGCAGAGACTGGTCCAGGAGTTCTGCAACGATGTCGGGATCCCCTATGCGCTGTATGGATTCGTGGAAGGAAACAAGCATGTCATTGGAAGGCTGGCCGATGTGGCTAGGCAGGCGGCCATTTTAAAGAAGTGCCAGCAGACTATTGTCGATGGCAGCATCGGGCATTCTCATGCTCACTGATGGAAATATTCCCGGAAAACGGAAATTTAGGGCATACGGGAAATTCATGGAGGGGAAGGTGGCCAGAGGCGTGGGACAAGATACGACTAGAGATGGCCCAAGTGGGTTACGATGCCTCATGTTTCGGTTTCAAAAAGAAAACCATGGTGTACTAATAAGTTGGTCTTTGGTATTTTCATTTGTACCTACAAATTCCTAGAGCAGGTATTATGCACGTAAACCTTACAGCCAGACACGCCAGGCCACTCAGAGATATCACCACGTCTGAACCCCGGATGGAAGCATGTGGTCAATCCACCTGCGCTCTACCAGCGACAAGGTGCCACTACTGCTGCGTTGTTGGCATCCTGACGTCTTTGTATAAAGTTTGTAGACATTCAAGTCCAAAAACTCGGCAGGTCGGTATCGGTATTCCATGACTATTTCAAACAATCGCTTGATGGTACGAGAATTTGGATGAAGGTGTGGATGATGGATGAACGGGATGTTTGGAGCAGCACAATGACGAGGTATTGGAAAACGATGGTGATACGAAGCTGTAAACATTCGGGTGGTGTAACAAAAGACAACAACATGTATCTTGAACAGAAAAGGATGGAATATTCCAATGAGGTAGAAGTCGAGAAAAGAGACACGGCTAGTGGAAAATATGAACGTGACGTTATAAAAGCGGTTGGATGGTGATCCGGCAGTCCTGCGGCCGGGGTGAGAGGAAAGTTGTGAATAGGCTGAACGACAACGAACGAATCAATGATGATGGTGATGTATTGAGTAGAGTAGAGGTCAGACTGTGTGTAAAGTCTGGAGGTCTAAAAGTAGGGCAAGGGAGGTCCCTGTGCGGTGGGGCCATGGCCAGTGAAGGGAGAAGGGAGCCATGGCTGGCCGCACGTGACACGGGACACCTCCAACAAAAGTAAGAGCCCCAATCCTGGGCGAGGGTGAAGTGCGGGACAGCGGTACCACTCAGTGGGTCAGCGCGTATAATTTCGTATGTACCTGTATGGTAAGTTACTACTTACCTTACCCCGCATACAGAAGAACCCTTCATGTATCATCCAACGGTAGATATTGGCGTTTACTTTGTGATTTTCGACTTGTACAAGTCCCTCGTCTGCCTCTACTTACATATGTACAAGATACGCAGCAGAGGTAGTAATGCGAATATGACTGCGCCAGGCGGGAGGTTACCTTATGATGAGGACGGGACGAGAAAGGTGTGGGGGTGGGGGAGCCACATCACAGGACTGCATGCTGTGCTCCGTAATAGGTGGTACACATACGTAACATACGCACTAACAGCCAAACTCCCTCTGCCATCAGGGTGCCCGGTGCTGCACTGCTTTCACCTCCTCCGCTTTTATGGTTGTAATTTACTTTTACCTACGAGTTTAAGATAGGCAGCACGTCCAAGTCGGCGCGGCTTACCTGAAGCTGTCCGGTCCAGACGACGACGTCACTGCCACTTTCAAGTGCTTTAGGTCAGAAGGCCGGTACTGCTAGTACTAACGCAAGGTAGTTTTGCAGACAGTTTGGACGGCAAGAAAGGCTGGCGCTTCGGTAGCTCGGGTAGGTACATGTACTTACCTTACCTAGCTATAGGCAAGACAGCTGTTCAGGCGCGCGTCAAGTCACCAGCCTGACGAACACCTCCTCTAAAGCATCCATTCTTTGAGGCTTCCATCCCGCATCCTGCATCCCGTTGAGCCCAAAGTTTTTTGCAGATCGTTGCATTCACATCAACCTTATAACCGTGCATTGAATCTGCATCTGAATACCTCTTCACCTCTTATCTTTCTCGTTACCATATTACCAGATTACCTAGAGGCTCCTAGGCTCCACCCTGCGCCGCAACACCATCCAGCTTCATCCAGCTTCCCGTGCTAGGACTTCGAGGGCGTACACGATACAGACGACAAAGGCAGAACCATAGATCGTGCGAGTTGGTGACAGGTTGGACTAGCACGACAGCGCCATCCATCCTTGACATATAGCCACTTGCTCGAGGTACGCTGCTTGAAACCCCGTCGACCTTCCCTGACCACTGTTATCCGTCAACCAACGCAAGCGTCCTCTCCTGTCCTGTCTCGGTCGCTAACGGGGCCTGGAGATTATTGATCAATAAGAGCACGCCCGACGAGACCTGAGCCATGGACCCAAACATTCAGCGCTTTCTCAATGACAAGCTATATGATAAGCGCAAGATCGGGGCACTTGAGTATGTCTTGCTTCCCCTCCTTCTCCCTCACCACTCTTCTCCGTTGGCTATTCCTTGGGCTTGATATGGCCTCGGCTCCCGGACCCGTAGGTCAGCCTTCTCATGGCGTTGACCTTTCGTGGATACCCTTCATCGATCGAGATCCTAGACTTACACAAGCTCGCTCTTCCAGCCTGGAGCGTACCATTCGTGAGCTGATCGCCGCCAAGGACTATGCCAAAATCGAAGCCATCCTCGATCAGCTTTGCAATGACTACGCATATGCTGTTCATCAGCCTCATGCACGCAACGGTGGCTTGATAGGCCTGGCTGCCGCCGCAATAGCACTCGGCCCAGTAGGTTAACATCTTTCCCCGTTATGATGTCAAAATGCCCCTTTCCCTTACTCACTCTTCCAAGCAGGAGCTTCCCAAGTACCTCGAGGTCATTGTTCCTCCCGTCCTTGCTTGCTTCACGGACCAGGATGCCCGGGTAAGATATTATGCCTGTGAGGCTATGTACAACATAGCCAAGGTGGCCAAGGGTGAAATTCTGGTCTACTTTAACTATATTTTCGACGCCTTATGTAAAGTAAGTCAAACTCGAACCGTCTATTCTGCCGCACAATGTTACTTACATGTTCACCCACGACACCTAGTTGGGTGCCGACTCCGAACTCTCTGTCAAAAATGGTGCCGAGCTCTTGGATCGCCTAGTCAAAGACATCGTTTCCGAATCGGCCGCGACCTATGTTTCGGTGCTGGAGCAGCCTCATGAGTTCGACGGAGACGATAAGAACGCCAACGACGAACAACTGGACTTGCCCACCGCCTTCTCTTTGAAACGATTTATCCCCCTGCTGCGGGAGCGCATCTTCGCCCTGAACCCCTTTAGCAGAACCTTCTTGGTCGGTTGGATTACTCTGCTCGACTCGATCCCCGACCTTGAGCTTGTCACCTACCTGCCCGAATTTCTCGGTGGACTTTTGCGTTTTCTTAGTGACTCCAACCGAGACGTTCATGTTGCTACCCAGGCTTGCCTGGACAAGTTCCTGGCTGAGATCAAACGCATCGCTCAAGTCAAGAAGGGGATAACCGAGAGCAAGAGGTCTAGAGAGGCAGCAAGGCAAAGCAGAAAGGACTCCATCGGTAGCGGCGCTGGCCGGCCCCTTGAGGATGGGGACGAGCTCGACTCCATTACGGCAAACGAGGAGGACGATGATGTGAGCAGCGAGGATGACTGGGTCCCCGGACAGGACGTGCAAATCAACTACAAGGCCATCCTGGAGATACTAACAGCCACTCTCGATTCGCCCCTAGGTATGTCTACCTCTCACCCTCGGACCAATCGCCAGAAGAATCTGATGGATTTTCCAGAAGAGGACGGACTTCTAGAATCGCTACGCTGGATCGTTGAATTCCTCGAAATCTGCCCGGAAGAAGTATTGCCATTTACGCCCAAGATACTGGCGCATTTGCTGCCGGCTATGGCTAGCGGTGTTGAGTCTATTCGCCAAGCCGCCGCCAGGGTCAATAACTCGCTGATGGACTACGTGGTTTCTCTTTCTGACGAAGCAGATCTTGTGTCCGCCCCGCCGGTTTCTACTGAGCGACTGAACGGAAATGCGAGCAATCGGGCGTCTTTGTCTAGTTCACGAGACCTCGACCTCCGCAGTCCGACACCAGCTCAGGGAAGGCAAAGTGAACGCGCCCCTACTCCGGCAGCCGCGCCTCAGGCAACACCTCAGCCAACACCTCAGGCAACACCTCAGGCAACATCTCAGGCAACACCTCAGCCAACACCTCAAGCTGACCTAGACTATGTTGCTGCCGTGAACTCGCTGACACTGTTGTTCCTGAACGATCACGAGGCTACCCGTGTTGCTGCCCTGACATGGTTGATCATGCTGCACCGAAAAGCACCCAGGAAAGTGTTGGCTTTCAACGACGGGACTTTCCCAGCCTTGCTCAAGACCCTGTCCGATCCTGCAGAAGCAGTCGTTACCAAAGATCTGCAGCTTCTCTCCCAAATTTCGAGAAACAGTGAAGACGACTATTTCTCCAACTTTATGGTTAACCTACTGCAGTTATTTTCGACCGACAGGAAACTTCTAGAGACGAGGGGCAACCTAATAATCCGACAACTTTGCACAAGTCTCAGCGCCGAGCGGATCTACAGAACATTGGCTGATTGCATCGAAAAGGAAGAGGACGTCGAGTTCGCGAGTATAATGGTGCAAAACCTCAACAACAATCTCATCACTGCGCCTGAATTAGCGGAGTTGCGAAAGCGGCTCAGGAACCTTGAGACCAAGGTAGGGCACCATCAACACCTGTCTCCTCGTGAAGAATGGTACTCACAACTTATAGGATGGCCAAACATTCTTTGTAGCGCTTTTCCGATCATGGTGTTACAATGCAGTGGCAACTTTCTCGCTCTGCCTGCTGGCACAGGCCTACGAACAGGCTTATAATCTCTTGCAGATATTGTGTGTACTTCCCTGGCTCCCTGGATTTACGCTGCTAACTATTTCATAGTGCTGAGCTCGAGATGACGGTCAATATGCTCATCCAGATCGACAAGCTGGTTCAACTACTGGAGTCGCCGGTTTTCACTTGTACTTTTCCTTCCAGAACCCACCCTTACACGTATTGACAGTTAGCTAACAGTGACCAGATCTTCGTTTGCAACTACTTGAGCCGGAAAAGTATCCACACTTGTACAAGTGTCTCTACGGACTTTTGATGCTCCTACCGCAATCCTCGGCCTTTGCGGCCCTGAAAAACCGCCTTAACAGCGTCAGCTCTATCGGCTATCTCCATATTGCGCCTAGACCGTATGTCAACTCTGCCACAGGGAATGGTGTTAGCGGAGGAGGCGCCCATTTGTCTCACTCGCGACATGGCTCAGTCGCCGAGGCGCTTGCCGGCTCCCCTTCTTCAACACCCTTACCGTCCCCAAACCGTAAAACTACTTCAGGAATCGATGCTCACATGTTGTTGACCCGCAGCACTGCTACTACGCCAAGTGCGTCCACTTTTGACCGCCCCAATCGACTTAAGGGGAGAGACGACAGCATCATCCGCTGGACTGAATTGCTTGAGAAGTTCCGATCAGTCCAGGAACGTGCCAGGCGCCTTCAACGAGGAGATACAGACGACGCGTCATCAGCGTTGAGTGATCTGAGGATAGGAGGAGGCGAGGCCGCAATGGATGCCAAGGGCACCGTGAGGGAAGGGGCAGGAGGGCGAGCGCCTCCTGTTCCAGCAAAGGATGCGCCGGCGGCGGCGCCTCCAGCAAAAACCCGAACACTTGGAAGACCATTTGGAAGACTCGGAGGGGCGGTGGCAGGTCGAGGCAAGCGAGCCCAGCAATGAATGCCTTCTGAATTTGATGTTCTGCTTTCGTTGGTTTCACACGTTATTGGCTTTGTGGCTTTGGCATGCATGCGTCCTTTCGTCAAGTTTGTTTCTGGCGCTAAGCCTTTTCATGGCATTTGATAACAGCTGACTAGAGCAGGCACCATGCTCGCGTGTAATGTAATGATACCCCCCGACGACGATACGGAGATGGAAACAACGGATTGGAGAGATTGCGACAGTGAGCCTGACGTAATTTACAGAAGAGAAGATAGGCTCTGGTCGGTCTGAGAGGGAATAACAAGGAAGGGGCAGTATAAATGTTTGGGACGGGTTCACACGTATATTGCATTACATGGAGGGTTAAGATCGTTATCGGTATTCCATAAAACTAAACGAAAAAGTCAAAGACCATGACATTCTCCCACGGTTACTGTCGCGAGTTTCCAATCATCCCCTACTACCGGTCTCTTTTTTCCGGCGATAAACCCCCTTCGACCAATCCTTCGAACGCCTCATCCCTCCTGCTCGTCAGTGATCTCAGCTCCTCCCTCAACCCCTCCAGCTCCCGTCTCGCTTGCTCAGTATCAGGCGGCAACCCTTGAAACGCCTGGAGCTGAACATTCAATTCTTGCTTCCGCCTCAACAACTCCAAATAAGCCTCCTGTTCCCTCCGTACTTGCTCAACCGTCACCATGCCTCCCTCCTCGCCAGCACCACTATCACTTCCCGCAACAGCACTCGCCAAGTTCGCCACCCTCTCCCTCAACTGCGGCAACGTCTGTCCCGCCAGCGTCTTGATCCGTCGCTGCACCTCCAGGTTCTCCTTGGCCAAGCCGGCAGCCGGGCTGTAACCGGGGTCCCTCCGCAGGTGAATCAGTAGCTTCTCGATGGAGGCTGTGGCGCGGGTGATGTGCGAGCTGAGCAAGTCCAGCCGCTGTTGTGCCTGTTCGAGATTGTTGAGCTCGGTTGATAGGGAGAGGAGAGAGGATGCGAGGTGGAGGGGGTCGGCTTGGGAAGGGGGGAGGGAGAGGGTTTGGGAGAGGTGGGAGAGGGTGGTTAGGGATTCTTTGCCGGAGCGGGTGAGGGAGGCGGAGAGGGCGGTGAGGATGGATTGTTTTGCTTCTTGGTAAGTCTCGGTCGTTGAGGGAGAGGGAGAGGGGTCTTGGGTGTTGCTGGTGTTGGTGTTGGTGTTGCTGGTGCTGGTGTTTAGCTTCGCCAGAGTGGCAGATTCCAAGTCGGCGATCTGCTGGCGAGAATCATCGGCTGCTTCGTTGGCGGCGGCTAGGGCCAGGAGTGCCTTGAGGGTGTCCGGGTTTCGCTCAAAGGCAGGCACTTTGAGATGTAGTGGGGCATATTTGGAAAGCAGCCAGGAGTCGACGTAGGACCAGTCTTTGGCGGCGGAGGCGGCGGCGCGGGCAACGGAGGGGGAGAAGATCACGGGCGCGGAGGGGGGTAGGTGGGACATGGTTAGAATGGTGTATATAGAGTGGATATGCTGCAAGTATGCCCTTTTCGTGATCCGTCCGGGGAGGGAGGGGTTGGTTGCTTTTTGTTCTTCTGTTTTTTTCCCCTTTGTTTTGTTCAGGGGTTTGTTTGTTCTGTTGATGGGGCGACAAGAGCTGTCGTTGGAGGAAGTGGGCAGCGATGATACCTCGGTTGATGCGGTACCCTTCTTCTGTCTCTTCAGTTGAATTGAGTTTACACCAAACATGTCTTATCTCGACTGTCCTCCGCTGTTATCGTCAAATCCGGTAAACTGTTGCTCGATGAGTTGTCACGTCAGTGCCTACCACGTTCGCATGTGCTTCTTGCTTGTAAGGTACTTGTTTGCTTTGCCGGTGGAAACCGTAGGAGCAGCCGCGGTGCTGAAGAGCAAAGATGGCAATGCGGCGGTTCATAGTACGCCACCCTCGGTAGCTACTACAATAAAAAGCATTCAACAGGAAGCTTAAAAGATGGGTGTGGGAACGCGCCGACAGCAATCGTTTGTACATATAGAGGTAGCTCCAGGGTAGGTAGAGATAAATTGTACCGCCCTCAATCGCTTGGGCTCAAGGAAGGTCCAAACACTTGCTGGCGTCCCATTGGCCAATGTTGTGCAAGTAAACAAAGCCTGCGCTGGCCAACGCAGGGCCCACTGTCGCAACGCGCTTTCACTACAGGGAGCGCTGTACCGCACCTGAACCGGAAGTGTAATTCTGCCATCCGCCAATATCATGCCAAACCATGTCCTGAATTTTTGTTTTTATCATTCATCGCTTTCCTGCTTGCATTTTGTCTTTCTTTCACCAGTGACGGCGTCCGGTTACCTCTGGTAGCTGAGTTGCGTCGAGAAGCAGCAACAAGGTCAACAACAATAACGAGTACCACCCAACACCTCGACCATCATCACCACGACTACCACAACGATTAGACAATCTATGAGGAATACATAGCCAGCAGAAAACACGACATTTTTACCCGAGGCCTGCCGCCAAAATGGTCCAGCCGGGCGTCGAGGGCCTGGGCACGCCGCGCACTGCCGTCGGTGACGCGACTTTTCTCGACCGCCAACCCGACTTCGACTTGTCCCAAGAGCTCTCCTTCCACTCGCCCTCTAAAGATGCAAACATTGCCCAGCAACTCCGAAATGGCAACCGACCGAACCTGTCGACACCACGGGGCACCCGTGCTCCCTTCACGAACCGGCGCAATGTCCAAGCCAACGGCAACATCAACGTGGGCGGTCCAGAATTCACCCCCCTCCTCAAATCAGCCACGAGAAACAGTGCAAGGCGCCTGCCCGGCAAGGAGAACGGCCGGACGACGCCGAATTTCTTGGAGAGGATAGACGAGGACATCACGCCGTTGCCAAAGCTCAACACCTCGGTATACAGCTCCCATACACCTCTACCCAACGATGCGACCGTTTCCAGTACAGAAGTGACGACACCAATCACCATAAGGCGGCGAGGCGGCGCTAAGGGCCCTCTGGACGACGGCAACCAACTGTCACTGCGCGAGCAAGAGAACGTTGTCAACAAGATAGAAAAGGAAAACTTCGGATTGAAGCTCAAGATTCACTTTCTGGAAGAGGCGCTTCGGAAGGCAGGACCGGGGTTCAGCGAGGCTGCCCTCAAGGAGAATACGGAGCTCAAGGTCGACAAGGTTACCATGCAACGAGAACTGCAGCGGTATAAGAAGACCCTTACCACCGCCGAGAAGGACCTCGAGAAGTTTCGAGCCCAGATGATGGAAATGCAAGAAAAGGCGACCAAGAAGTTTTCAGACGACAATCAGCGTGCCGAATTAGACCGCTTGCGCCAGTTGGTGGAGGAAAAGGAAGCCGAGATACGACGCCTTCAGCAACTGCTCGAGCAGGGCCAGGGCGAGAACGAGAAGCTTGAAGAGCTACAGGAGCATATTGCCGACTTAGAGCATGATATTCGACAAAAGGACCTAACCATCGACGAACATGAGGAAGAGGCAGAGGAGTTGAGGGAAAAGGCCGCTGAGTTTGAGGAGCAACTAAAAGAGGCTCAAGAACGGATCGCCGAATTAGAAGAGAAGGCACCATCTAGTGAAGTGTTACGGGAAGCCCAGGAAACCATCGAGGATCTTCAGCACGATGTTAGGCGTCTCGAGCAGCAGTTGGACGACATGAAGGACAAGGCGGAGGAGGCCATTTCACAGAAGGACAGGGCGGAGGCGAACTTGCAAGAACTGCAGAATGAGATGGCTAACAAGTCGGTCATGACCAAGGGCCTTTCGCGGCAGGTTGAGGAAAAGGTTGCCCGTCTACAAAGCGAACTGGAGAACGCTCGGCAAGAATGTGTGACGATAGCACAACAGCGCGATGCGCAATCCGCCGAAGTTGAGAACCTCAAGTCGACCCTTCGCCAAGTGCAGCAGGAGCGGCAATCACTCGAGCAAACTCGCGCATCCATGGCGGCTAGGTTGGAGCGAGGACAGGCGCAACTCGATCAGCTTTCCAGCGAAAAGCAACTTTTGCAGGAGCGTCACGATGCCATGGTAAACGAATCTGCCTCTTTGCGACGCGAAATGTCCGGATTGCAGACCGCAGTCTCAGCGCTCGAACTCAATATGGAACGCGAACGGCAGAATGCGCTTAATATCGAGCAGAACATCCGGGCACAGTACAAAGACGAGATGGACCGTCTAAACAATCATGCCCTCAGTGTCGAACAGAACCTTCGAGCCCAATACGCGGAGGAGATGAAGCGTCTGAACAATGAAATCTCTGATCTCCAGGCCGAATGCCGCGAAAAGGATAATCTGTACGATAACGACAGTGAGAAGTGGGAAGCTGAGCGTCGACAACTGCAAGCGGAGTTGAGCAGGGCCCAGGAGCGGGCTTCTGGCCTCCAAATGTCACTTGATCAGCTGCGGCAGACAGAAGGGAACCTCTCCAACAAGGAGGCAAGGCTGCAGCAGGCTCTTCAGCTGGAAAATGAGCGGCACAAGAGGGAAGAGGCGCTTTTGAGCCGGCAAATCCAAGAGCTGCAACAGAACCTTCAGTCTCGTCAGGGAATGCTAGAGGACCTCCGAAGGGAGATGCGTCAAGTCCAAGACCAACACCGCCAGACCCAGCTGGATTATCAAGCGCAAACCGACAAGGTTGCAAAGCTGGAGGATGAAGTAGAGGTCCTGCAAGCTGCTCTGGATGAGGAGTCCGAGAGGGCTGACCAGGACCTCGAACAAAAACAAAAAGAATGCAACGATCTCAAGCAGAAGCTTGCTTCTGCCCAGGCCACATCCAATGCTACTAGAGCTTCGATGAATGCCGCGGATGCCAACACCCATCCGTACAACGAAAATTTGAGACTTCAGCTAGCGGATGCCAGCGAGAATCTTGCCAGGATCACCAAAGAGAAGAAACTGCTGCAAGAACGGTATAACAATCTAGATGCCGAGGCGCGCTCCCTGAGGATAAACCTATCCCACACCACGGCCGAACGTGACGAATTAGAGGCGGAGCTTCAGCAGTATAAGGATCAAGGTCCCGATCAGGACACATTCCAGCTTGACCAGGAGAAGCTTAACTTGCGCTCTGCGAAGACAAGGCTGGATAACGAAGTCCGTAGGTTAAGAGAAGAGAACCGATCTCTTCTTGAGCAACAACGCACGATGCAGCAATCTCTCGAGGAGGAGATCGAGAAGGCGTCTGCTGAGGAAGAGCGCCTCAACCAGGAAATTCTTCAGCTCCAAGCCAAGGTTCGCGATTCGTCCTCATCGGCGCCGGGAGAGCTGGTGAAAGCTCGTCGAACTATTCGCGAACTCGAGCGCCGCATTTCCGAGCTTGAGACACAGCAGGCCACTTCTTCTATGTTCCCTAACCTTGGCGGAGCTGAAGGCAATCACGAAATCTCCCTCCTGCAACGCGACCTCACTGCTGCAAGGAAGAAGGAGATTGAGCTTCTTCAACGCGAGGCCACCCAAAAGGAGACCATCAAGTTGCTCAAGCGACAGATCGCTGATCTGGAGCGCAGAGTCCATGAAGCAACAATCAGCAAGCTTGCGGTCTCTCCTTTGTCCTCCCACGGCGGTTCCGCCCAAAAGAGCGAGATCTCGGAACTTCGGCATCAGCTTACCACAGCACATCAGTCTATTTACGACTTGAAGAAAGCCCTCCGCGAAGCCGAGCGCAAGGCCAGTACCTCAGAGGAGGAACATCAAAGGCAGCTTGAAGATCTCGAAGACGAGAGGATGGAGCTCGAGCAGCTTCTCGATGAGGCGCAAACTGCCGCCGAACAGGCCCAACAGGCACATGAACAGGCCCTCAGGAAATACAAGCAGCGGAGCGAGAAGTACAAGCGCGAACGCGATGACCTCGTGGCGGCTTCCCTCGAGGACCAGAAGCAGCGCGTTAACAAGCTCGGCAAGCACCACCCAGCTGATCTCGACAATAGCCTCCAAAGCGACGTCTCCATGTCTCTCGAAGAGCGTCGCGATCTGCACAACATGTTGAAGGAGTCGCAACTTGCTGCTGATAAGCTCGATCGCGAGGTGAGGGAGCAGCGTGAGACACTCGAGGAGATGATGGCCATTGAGGTTGCGTTGCGCAAAAAGCTCGAGCGGGCGAGGAGCGAGCGAGCTGCATACAGGGCTAGCGCAGAGAAGCTACACCGAGACGTCAAGGCACTTACATATGAAAAGGAGAAGGCTGTCAGGGAGGCTGAGATGGTGGTCAACGAAGCTGTCGAAGAGATCGCGAAGGCTAAGGGCCGCGATCCAAAGGCACTGGTGTACACCCCCAAGGCTAAAATTGCGGATGGGAGGTTTGACACGGACACGGAAGCCATCATCCGCGCGGCCGAGGCGGCGGAGAGGAGGCACGAGAAGGAGATCAGGGGCTTGGTAATGCAAATGGAGTGGATGAAGGCATGTTGGGATCGTGAGGCAAGGTTGAGAAAGGACGCAGCGTTTGCCAAGAGGTATCTGACGTTGGAGGTTCAGATCCGCGATGCTTGGTATGCGAACCCCCCCCCTCCCCCTATTGTTCGATGCATGACACATTCAACTGACTTCACCCCCCCTTAACACAGCAACAAGGCAGATCTAGCAATCATCAACCGGATTCGCGCCGAACTAGGCGCCAACAACAACCCCTCTTCCCGCAAAGCCCTCGGTCAACTCTCTTCCATCAAGAAGACCCAACAGCAACACGGCCTTCTCACACCCCCCGCGAGTTCGAAGAAACAGCAACCAAGACCTCCCCCAGGCAAACTCCTCAAGAAGGCACTTACAGCCGTCCGGTTCATTGTCCGGATGCGAATCGAGGCCAAGAAGTTTGTAGAGAACGACAAAGTGCGCCAGCGCCTTGCCGATTGCGTGGAGCAGATGGAGCGCGAAGATCGAATCCGTCAAATGCGCGATCAGTGGAGGGCGAAGCAGGCCGGACCATCATCTTCTTCGTCCGGTGATGGAGGTGGTGGCAAGGGCGGCGGCGGCCATGGCCATGACATTCTTGGGAAGGGGAAAGGGAAGCAGAAGAGTAGTGGTAGTAGTAGCAGAAGGGATCTCCTGATGAGGGGAGGTGCTATCTGATGATAACATCATACTCTTATCACCGAAACTATGGTAAAGGGAAAAAGAAAAGAGGAGGAACGAACCGAACGGAAACTTCATGGCTAGGTTTGCTAGGTAGAGAGGAGTTTGGTTATGGGAGACGCGACGGCATCATGGTTATGGAGTAGCAACGGCAATGCATGGCAAGGACTTGAGTGGCACCCTTCTGACTTGATTTATGTATATCATATTCGCTGTGGTTATTGTTGTGTCTCACGATGGTCTTTCTGGGCGTTACTGCGGATCATGCGGACGGGACTTGTATGGAATAGGAAGAGGCGTCTTGGGGGCTGTTTCTTCCAAGCACTTTACTCTCTATTACACATGTTGCATACTTGACAGTGTGAAAGAACTTATCACAGCTTCTTGTTAAGCTTATGGCGGTTTTCGTTTTTACTTTGCCAGCAATCATCTGCTGCTTCGACTGGGAATGTTCATTAAACAAGGGGAATTGGTCAGCGTCTTTGAAGTGCTTAACGGACAGCGGAACTTGATAGTAAATTAGACAATGAGTGCTGATTACAAACCTCTCGGCCTTCGTATCAAGATGTAAACTCTTCCCAAACAACCTTACAGTACTCGTCGTGAAGACTCAACGTCACCATTAAGTTGGGCATAGCCGCGACCTGATCTCACAGGCACTAGAACTACAGGTTTCTCACTTTGCGTCTGGTCTTAGCCTATTAACTTGACTGGAATCCATTACCGAATCTGCATGGGAACATCGCTCACCGAATTATTCGGAGCTCGCAGGAGTGTGTCATCGCGGATTATCATTGGTTAACCATGTCTATGAAGACGCGTGATAGTTGCGCCCCAATATTAACCCTCACGCGTTATGCCTGACTTGTCCGTCTACACTGGAAACCGAGGAGAAGCAATGACGAAAAGGGAACCCAAACGAGACAAGTTCAACCTGCTGGTATACAGAAGAAGACGTGATGGGAGAGACTGAATCAACCCAATGTTTAGAAAAACAACTGGGCCAGTATTTTGATTTTAGCTCTACACGACACCGCATTCCCAATTTGTTTCGTGTGCCTGATATGTTCATCACACATCCAATGACGGCGCAGTGGAACTATGTGCCCTTGGCGATTATTCCGACACCGCACGCCCCTGAAGAAGAAGACAGGATATTTTGACTTCCAATCTCTCAGCGCTTTTCTTACCTCATAAATTTCGTCGCCCCTTTCAACCATAGCTTTCGGTCCGAAAACCCCAATCCGACACCACTGACAAACAAGCCAGCAAAAGAAAAGAAAGCAAGCAAAGGGGTAAGGAAAAGAAAAGCACCCAACACCCCATGGTATAGACAAATAACTCCATCCAATTTTGCATCATTTTTTTGGTCGGTCATAATGAAGCATCCGGTAGGTTCACGAACCCATTTTGTCTTCTTCATCGGTCCTCACTTAACCCGTGTCAACCGATGTCACGTTTCAGCTTTGCGGCCTTTGAGGGTTCCATACGGCCGGTGACGGAGGGGGTGACGAAGTGACTGGTGAGGAGGACCGTGAAGAGTCTAGGTCGTGACAAAGATGTAAAACTCCAAAGCTCCAGGCAAAACTCAGACCAGGACCTGCAAAAGTTGCGGGCCTCGATAATAACCAGGTACGAAAGAGAAAAGAAACAAATAATCGAGAAAGAGAAGCATTCGCCGGGCATTCCCAAGAGGTATCGCATCGAACCAACCAAGGAGGACTATGCTATCAAGAGCGTAGATGACCCAACATGTGATGTAATGGTATTTTTTTCGTGAAACAAAAGTGGGGAATCGGACCATGGCAGAAAGGAAACCAAGAGAAGACCGGATAAAAAGAGATTCGTAAACATCAAGACTATTCATCAAACGTGAGACGCCTTCGTGAAACGCTAAGCGGCGTCTTAGCAATTGGCGTCTTCCAAGGCTTCTGCGCCGGACTAGGCGTCATGTGAACGAAGTCAGAAAAGTCGAAGCCAAGGCCAGGAGTGTTGGGGAACGGATTTCCGCCCCCAGGTGTGGTCATCATGGACGAGGGCAACGCCAACCTGTTGCTGCTCAGAAGGCCCAAGTGCTTGGGCGGTGGAGTCGATGGAGGCTCCATCAGGAGGTGGTGGTTGTGGGTAACATGATTGTTACTGTCGAATCGTCTCTTGGTCGGACGGGCCGGAGACGGCGAGGCTGCCAGATAGAGAAGCAAATCCGCACCCTCCTCATTTGTCTTTTCTTGGGTTTGCTGACCTCCCATCGATGTATTCGTCCCCAGAGGTTTTCGAATGGTGGGCAAGGGTGGTTTATTTTCCTTCTTTCTTCCGCCGAGGACGTTACGAGTGCGCATGGGCGGCGTCCTTGGCGGCGATACCCGCACGTGGGAGCGCGCAAACGAATGTACGGGGGGATCGTCTTCATCGTCCGAGGGATTGGCACCGTAGCCGGGCGAGGCCAGAACATTGCTCATTTGTCTCGAGGTATCAAACAAGGCCACGTTGGGGCCTGTCGAGGTAGTAAAATGCCGTTGCCGCTGAGGTTTCATGGGCGATGACTGGGCCAAGTCGTGATGGTCTTTCCAGGAGGGGTGGCTGCCATACGTGAAGGAACGGTGAGCGGTGGGTGACTGGCGGAACCTCTTGCTCGGACTCGACATGTTTTGGTCGTACTCGAAGGATGCCAGATACGAGCGCTTGCGATGACCTGAGCTGCCGTTGCTGGATCCGATGGCATCAGAGAAGACGGGAGCCTTGAGTGGTGAGCTCATCAGGCCTCGTGTGGGGTATGGAAGATCGGAAGCGCTGGAGGAAGAATCGGACAGGATATCGCCGTCGGGGAGCCTGCTTCGGCGCAGCTCTTTTTCGAACCTGGGCTCGATGCTGTCGAGGGTAAGGTCTTCGAGGCCATGTTTTGTCTTGAACTGAGCTAGGGCAAGGCGGTTCTGGAGTCTTCTGACCATCTGACGGGAAAGAACGGTTACTAACTAGCCTGTTGAAAGCTCATGATGCAATGGAAGGCGAGGATGGGAAGAAGTTGGACGATGACATACCCGACTGATTTCAACCCTCTTGAGCACCCTATCGGCCACGACCTCTATCTCATGCTGTTTCTTTAACGGCGACGACATAGTCCTTGGATCGGAGATGGCCATGCGCGATGCGGAGTGCCGTCTTTTGCGGAGAAGTGACGCTGCAGTGTCTGTTTGGCGAGCAATTGCAGGTGGGACTTTGTAAAGAGATTGCAGGTTTGGGGATGGATGGTCAGTGGTCCCTGGTGAGGGAGGACTGACTGGCGCCTAGCTCAACGCAACGGCAGGGCAGCTTAACACGGACACATGGAAGATGCAGGCAGGAGCTGTGCAACGCAACAGTATCCGTCCGAAGTAAACGGCCTCAAGGGAGGATCCGACGGGAGCTTGGGAAGGGAGTGCCTGGCTGGCGTCGAAGGATCGAGGTGCGAGGTGCGAGGTGATGGGTGGTGCCCTCTCGTAGAAGCTACGTTTGCAATGGAAGGAAATGGATGGAGAGTATCAAGCTGATGGACTTGGGCCTTTACTTTCCCCCCAAAAGTAAAAGGTCTTGCATCAGGCTATCAGGGAGGCTGCGCCAAAAGAAGAAGTGAGGAATTGGTTGTTGGGAGGCCAAGCGACAAGGGATCCGTTCGATCCAATGTTTGAAGGGAAGGAAACAAGACATGTCAAGTGTCAAGACTCGACACTCAGCTTGCATACAACAAATTCACCCGACATTCCTTCGCTGTGAAAAGTGGATCCCAGTACCTCGTTATCTCCAATCTACGCAAAGGTTGCCCTGCCGTTGCATGCTGTTTGCTTGTAGTGTACATAGAAGCATGTATCTCAGCTTTGTTCCGATTGGGCCCCATCCTGGCCCACTCCATAGACTTTAGCCAATGGCAGGCAGTTCCATCAAGCTTACCACACCATTCAAACTTACTATTTCAAGTTGGGCACTGCTGCTACCTACCTCTGTTGCTGTTGATATTGGAAGGCACTGCCAGTTAATTACCCGAGCGTGTATAGCAAAAGGTTGCTCCAGACTTTCTGGCCATTGTGCGACTTCAAGTTGACTTACGCTTGCACTATCTTCTACGATGTACATAACCATGTCCAAGCGAGCATCTCTTTGAGACTTCCTGTTAGTTGTACCATGACACTTTGCGAGTGTTTCATTATCATACTTGCAATGTTTGGGACAACAACCACACGCCAATCCATGGTGGGACAGAACCAGTCCCAGCGGTTTCTAACGACGGTTTCACTTGTCGTAAACCCAACAGGGAACGCATCTCTGTATTCGTGAACAATGAAACATCCCGTTTGAGTGTTAGCGTAATCCCATGAAGACCAGGCTCTGACAGGAATAAAAGATCTTCCCCCGTGGTCGTAGAGCTTCACACCCCATAATGTGTAGAGTAGGGCCTGTTCGATCTGGTATGTTGGTAGTCTCTGGATGTTTCGCGCGAATTACCCTTCCAGGGCTTTGAGTCCTGCTTCGAAGCCGGTATTGTGTAGGCTACTCAATGCTAGCAGAGCCGTAGGAGACAAAAGTACAGGTAGTCAAGTCTCAACGGACCGGAGGCATGCCAATGGAAGGCACGGTCTCCGGGGATCGTTCTTGTATCGCGCTTCCACCCCAACACGAACAGCCGGCTGTTTCCCAGTGTTTGGACCCAAGAATCCTCCCAAAAAAAAAAAAAAGCTCGACGCATCCTGCTGTGGTCAGTACATTGCCCAATGTGGTCGACAGGTTATACATCTCGTAGTTATTATCAAAGTGCCGCAACAACGTGAGACAGCCCTGCCTTTAATACTCAAAGAAAAAGGGGAAGAAAGAAAAGAGAATGGGAAAGAGGGAAGGAAAAAGCTCTCGAATTGCACATTGAATTTGAGTGATCTGTGAAAGAGGGATTGAAAGATGCAACCACTATAGAGACCGAGAAGGAGTATCCGCTGAAGGAAAAGACGAAGGATGAACAGAACACCAAGACTAAGACAAGAGTCAGCAAGTTGAAAGTTGAAAAAAAGGGGTCCCGGGGATGGCCAGTTATGAGAATCCGGAGGGCGCGGAGGCTGACGATTAGCTCCGGATTCTAGCTGGATGCGGACTGTCTGCGCTCGGCAGCCAGCTGACTGACCACTGCATTTTGTGCCCAATTTCCGGTCCGCAGTTGGCGCCCGAGTTGCCGGGTTGCCGCTTGCTGGGTTGCCGATCGGCCAGGTCCTAACGTGAAACGGAACCGCAACGGCGGAAGCGAGGAGCCTCTCCGATGACCTTGATCGAATAGATATGGATCGTGATAATGCTTTCGGGTATTAAAGCGCAGTCTTGATCTGAAGTTGAGTTCTAGGGCGCAAATGTAAGTGTCGCTTCTTGAGGAGATGAGTGAGTTGGCTGGCGTACGCAGCTTGGTAGAGCACATCCACATATAGGTACTTCAGTGGGTGCGGCCCATGAACTCTTTATTGTAAATGCACATACTTTTCCTCATGCTTTGCAGCATTCACGGAGGTAGAGGTAGGTATTCACACTTGTACATAGCAACCCTACAGGTAAGGGAGGTTCAGAGAGCGTCGCACTGGGTGTTGATCGATACCGAACTGGTCGTAGCTTGCGCACCATATTACACAAGTGGAATTGGATACAGCTCGAGAGTGTGGGAATAACCACAACTGTACTGCAGTGGATTGCTTCTGTTGGCCGATAGCCGACGCCCAGGCTTAGAGCTCTGGTTTCGTCCCTTTCTCCCATCTACTCGTCAGGTCTACAAAATCGACCGTCTGACTAGTAGCGGAGCCACTAGTCAGGACCAGCGATTCGTATACGACTAGCAACTCGTACCGAGCGGGGTATATCTACTTCCTAGCGTTCCCCATACAAACGTAAGTCTTCTACCCAGAGCCAATAGTTTTTTTATAATAATATATCTATATTTCTTAGTCGCATGCAATATCACTTCGACAGTCAATATATATACGTAAAAATAAAATATCATTATTTTGCATAGCTATTATCATATATTTATTTTAATATATACTACCTTATAACTTTAACCTCCTTACAATTAGAATCCCTATATCCTTCCCCCTCTTCCTCGTCGTCGTCGTTATTATTATAAATAGCTTTATCGACGTTATCGTTATCGTCTTTGATTTCTTCGTCCTTATACTCCTTATATTTTTTATCCTCTTAATTTATTTGTATATACCGTCAGTCGTTAGGATACTACTAGTTTGGATCTTTTTATATATTAACTAATTTATTATTAATAATTTCAACCTCTTTTAATTCTTCTTTTATAAGTAGTATAATACCCTTATTAGTTAATTAAGCTGTAATAACCTCGTTTATAACTTTCTTTCTTACCTTATTAAATACCCATAGAATGCGTAGCTTAGAGGGATTACTAAGTAATTACTAATATAAGAGGAGAGTTATATTATTTACGGTCCTTTTACCCCCTAACTATTTAACCTCTTCCTTAATAGCCTTCTATTATTGAGATTAGAAGTGATCCCAACGCCTTACCCTCTCCTTATGACATTTATTAACTAACTAGTCCCTATTAGTAAATTATATTTTATATAGTATTGTAAATTCTTTGATCTCCTTTCTAAAGGTCTTAAGTATTCATAACTGTAACTTCTCGTTGATTATTTAAGTCTTTTGAGTAGAAATAAAGCTACTAATCTATACCCTCAATATAGTCTATTCTTATTGAAGTTCTCGAATATAGATACGGTCGTTTTCTTTCTTTATAATAGTAATACGTCAATATTTATTAATAGCTATACGTAATTAGGTATTACTAATAATAATTATATTATTATAACGTAGTAGACGGTTAATTGTACAAAATTTATATAATATTTCTTTAACTGCCTCCTCTTTACGTTTATATTTAAATTTAACTTCCTTTATAATTAATAAATTAAGTACGTTACTAATCTTATTTTATTTAATTAATACGTACTTAACCGTTAGTAATATTGGGTAATTTTCTTTAATTATAGACGATAGGCGTTATTCGATATAAATATTATACTTTTTAATAGAGGGGAGGTTGAGATTGGGTATAACTGTATTACTCTAGTCTATTTACAATTAGGAGGAGGCCTTTTACTTTAATATAGAAGGCTCTAGTAAGGTAGGGAATTGCTTTATTACGTAGGTATTCCTTAACTATAGGAGGATTGCTTAGTATATTAATTACTATTTCTTTTAGTATACGGAATATTATACTCAGTTTATTTATTCTAAAATTAATAATCCCCTACTCTATAAAACGAATAATATACTCTCGCTTCTATTTAATATACTCTTCATTAATTAATAATATTAATAAATTACGAAGGTTTAAAAGAATTAAGTTAGAGTTAAACGGCTATAAACTAGTACGCTTCTAAGTAGATAAGATATTCTTAGGTTTAAATATTTTCTTACGGACTTACTTAAGGCTATTAAGAAAGTCCAATTTATTATAATCTATATTATTATATATCAACTTTTTACGTATATTAACTTGGTAAAAGTATTTATATATTTAAAATATTCTAATATCGAGTAATTGAAGGAAGTGTATTGAATAGGGAAGTAAGAGAAAGAGGGTAACGTTGTGCCTTCGATATTATTTATAAAATTCCATAGTATAATGATTACTATAGTTATTTAATACTAAAACCTTCTTTTCTTCTTTATTAATAGGCTGTAAATACTCCTCCTAATATTTAAATTAATTTAGAATATATTAATTATTTATATAATTTTGTAGGGACGCGGCGATAATTATTCCGTCATCGAAGGAATTGTCGATATACTTATATATAATATTAATACCAGAAAGTAAGACGAAAGGTAGTATAGTACGGCTAAATACAGAAATAGATTCAAATATAATAATAAGAATTCTCTAATTAGGATTAATAGATTATACTTCGGTTATTTTAGTATAAATATATACAAAATAGGCCTTATTTAATATATTAATTTTAAAACTAAATTTATTACTATTCTAAATGTTATTCTATTACATTTTGTATTTTGTAATAGTATTATGGAATAGATAAAAGATATTTTCAATATTTGCCCGTATTTATAATACCTTCTTAACCTAGGCTATGGACTTAATTCGAATATTATAAAAACCTTCCCTCTTTATATAACGACGTGCCTATTTAGTATTAATATAAGGGATAGTAATAGAATTATTACTATTGTTACGGTTTATTCTTATTCAAGTAATTACTATTAATACTCATTACTTTGGGGTTATTTCGATATTTGCGATAATTAATTAAAGTTATAATATAGAATTTATTTTACTTACTGATAAATATTTATATATTAACTTAAATATATATAATAAGGTCTTCCTCTCTAGTTAATAGTTTATTGAGGCCCCTATTCCCTACTACCGAACTTATTCTCTTGTAACGGTTAATAATTTGTCTATATAGAGTTCGAAATGCCTTCGTTATATTTACTATAGTTTTGAATCCTTTATTTTAAAATGCTTTTATGGCAGCTTAGATTTTCTCCTCTACTGGGAGCGTCTCCTAAATATTACTAACAATCTTTTTAACATTAGAAATTAAATTAATAAACGTCGGATTAAAGCGTAAGGAGCTGTTAACGGATTTACAAGGTAGGCGAAGTATAGCGTAGTAGATAGAGGATATAGTAATAAAAAGATAGTCTGATAAGAAAATAGAAGGAAGTAATATAGTAAGGAGATAGAGAGATTAAATAAAGGAGGGTTAAATATAATTAAAATTAATTATACGTAAAGATAGGTATAATAATCGAATAATATTAATACAATAGCAGTTTAAGTAGTTTGAATATAAAAGGAGGATTCAAAATATAAATAGCTAATATATATTTTGAGTGTTAGGCAGTACGGGGAATTGGGTTGCATACAATTCAAAAAATATGTTGTTAAATAAATTTATATTGATTTGCTAGCAAAATGGCGGTATGGGGAGGTACCCCCAGTTTCAAGTACGAGTCGCTGGTCCTGACTAGTGGCTCCGCTACTAGTCAGACGGTCGATTTTGTAGACCTGACGAGTACACAGTATGCTCGCCCAAAAAAAATGCAAAGTTGGTTGGTGAAAAACTGTCAAGACTTGATACTGTGCATGACGGTGCACGTGGCGCCGTTTCACGACTGAGGTACATGGACTGCGCTTTGCTCACAGGGTGCAGTGCTGGGACACTATAAAATCAACCAAGTCAAGACGATAGTTTTGGTTTTTGTCTTGCTCCGGGGAATGTTTGCCGGCAGACGTTCCTCACTTTCGCGGACCATCCAAGATCAACGGAGCGAACCCCGCTCACACCTCCCCTGAGCCTTTCTGATGGAGTGAACTTCTGTTGAAAGACTCCCACCTCAATCGCTGACCAAGAGGAATACTGCCCCCCGCGCCACGATCGACGTCGGCAAGGGTCGGTTTGCGCAGTTGGTGCCCTGGCGTGCCTTGCCTTACTGGCTTCCAGCTTGCCTACATATGTATCTTGTCAGGCGCTCCGGGTCCGCGAACCAAGGAAGCAGACAGGACCATAATCGCCAAAGCGCAATGTGACCTCAAACCGAGATCAACAGCATGCTTCCAAGAGGGCACCCCGGCACATCCAGCAAGTGACCCGGAGCGTATCCGCATCAGAGCCAGAGTGTATATATATACATGTTAGAGAGTAAAGTTTAAGGGATGAAGGGATTATACTAGCGTATTAGCCAAAATTTACAGAACCGCATATGATTGTATGTTCCTGTAATGTATTCTTGCCTATCATATGCAATGTCGTGTAGGCTCGGTCATGTCCTGTACTAATGTAGAGAGGTGTAGGTATCTTTGACGTGACTAAATGCAAGTCGTCCACTGTTAGCAAGAGACATAAGGTACCGCTCGAAACGGTGCAGACTGGAGTGTGTACATATGACGTCCCGGCCGATCGTTTTTGCTGTCTGATTCGTCGAGGTGCCTCCGTTTGGGCACGGCTTTCATATCCACCGGCGCCGCATCGAGGTTCCATTCCTACCTCAACCCAACCCCGGTTTTCCCGCCTCGCGAGTCTCAAGTCTCCACGGCAGCGATCTTACCGTCTCTGTGTACTGTCGAGACTGTGTACTGGCGTACCCTCGACCAAGCGAACAAGGTTTGCTAGGCTCACCAAGGCAATTGATGTTGCCGCTCGCGCTGGCTACTGCAAGTTTTTCGCCTGCTTTCCAGAAGTTGATCAATCACACCGTGGCTTGCCAGTCTTGACAAGTCGTTCTCCCGAGTCACTGACCTCCCGTCTCCAATCCACCTCCGTCGTAGACAGTGTAGTTCCTGATGCCGAGGGGGCACGCAACTCTCAAAACTAGGTACATACCAGACAACAGACGTCCAAGGCGCCAAAAAGCACCCACCCCTAATTGTCTCCCAATTCCCAAACATCGACTGGATCCACGGAAGAACGAACCTCCATTATATCTTTTTTTTCCCACCAGCACCGTGTCCATCCGCCGGTCAAGGTCCCTTGTCCCTGATCCGCTGCCTTAAACGTTACCCTGAACTCGACCACAGTCTCGACCTTTTTCGACCCTTTCGACGCTCTGGACCTTCTCTGACACGTCGAGTGCCGATTCCTCCAGCGACACCGAATACAGCCTGGGATGGACCGTACGCCCATCGCCTGTCTGGTCATCATCTCGCGCTGAGCTCAAACAACCCTCCCCCATATCGCATCTCCAGCACGCCTGGCTTGGCCGTCTGCCAGAGCTCTTCCGACTACTGTACCGCCTTCTGTTTCATCCGCTGCGTGGACCGTTTGGGTTCCCCGCCGCCCGGGTGCATTACGTCGCGAAGCACCCGCGATTCGACCACCTGAACGCTCGACCCAGAGCATGCTACGTGACCTTGGGAAAAGTGGAAACAACTGTCGGCTCGGACCAGGGAGACCGCATCACGTCGTGTGGAGATGAGAAGAGGAGCAGAGCGTGACCAGTCCATCAAATTGTGCTCTTGCTTGGGAGAAACTCGTGCCTTCTAAATTGGACTGTTCTTGATTCTCGGCCGTAGTCCTTATCGGCCGCTGTTATCGGCTCGACTGTTTGGGCATTCGCTTGTCTAGACCTCGTGTCCCGAACTACGCTGAACCACCACAATCATGCCGCCTCCCGAGGGTGACTCGGCCTCTGCGCAGGCTGGTAACAACTCCAGCGACTTTGTGAGCTCTTCCAAAGCTTTCCCCTTTCCACCCTCTCCTCTCTGCCTGCCACCGACCGCCAGTTTTCCAAGATGGGGGCTAACCCGTACTTCGTCTCACCTAGGTGCGCAAGCTGTATAAGTACGAAGCCAGAATCCCCCGATGCCTTTTTGGAGGCGCCAAGCCCTCGCCTGAATATTGCGAAAATGCATTCTGACTAGCTTGTAGGATGCTCGAAGATCCCACGTACAATTCCGTAGTACGATGGAGCGCCGATGGTGACAGTTTCGTTGTTCTAGAGGTATGCGCTGAACGGCATTTCACTTGGGGAAGACGACCCCCCTGCTCTTACTGACGAACCCATCAACAGAACGAAAAGTTCACCAAAACCATTTTACCCAAACACTTCAAGCACAGCAACTTCGCAAGCTTTGTACGACAGTTGAACAAGTACGATTTTCACAAAGTGAGGCACAATGAGGAAAGTGGCGAAGCGCCATACGGGAGAGATGTGGGTGGTCCTAGTCATCGGTCCTGCAAAGGGGGATCCTTCAGCTGACCGTATCCAGGCATGGGAATTCCGGCATCCCGAGTTTCGTGCAGATAGGAAAGATAACCTAGACAATATCCGCAGAAAAGCGCCCGCCCCGCGCAAGCCCGCGCAAGCTGAGGATGCCTTTGGCGCGTCGCAACAGATTGTGGTTCTAAGCGAATCGCTTACCGCGACTCAGCACCAGATCCAGGCGTTGCAGGAGCAGTACTTCGAGCTGGCGCAGACGAATAAAGTGCTCGTCAACGAGGTCATCAGCTTGCAAAAGATGGTCAGGGCCCAGAGTCAAGTCTCCAACGAGTTGATCACCCACCTCAGCAATATCGAGGACCGTCGACGGAATAGCAGACACTCGGCGCATTCTAGCCACTCGAGTCATTCAGGTCCGACCTTCCACGCAGGATCCCTTGAGCTACTACCAGACGGTGCTGATGAGCCGGCAGCCGAACTTAGACGTGCGCGCGAGATACTCAATGGCGTTTCCCCCGACTCCCAGGCCGACCGAGAACTCGAACGGTTATCGGTAGCCTACCATCAAAATGGGTCTCCATCCGATTCGGCAACCTCGTCAGTCATGTTCACCCAGGGCGGCCCTGCACCCATGCATATGTTGCATGATCCCCTCAATGACCCAAGACACATGGTCTATCCGGTAGGGCAGACAACGGGCATCGACCCGTTCCATTCCGATCACATCAACAACATCCCGTATACTCGTCCCTTGAGTAACCCGAATCCGATGGCCGACTCTGCTCAGATAACGCCTCCCCCAAAAGATCAAGGCACCTCCATGTGGAGCCATAAGCGGCCACGCATCCTGCTCGTCGAGGATGATAAGACATGCGCAAGGATCGGTGCCAAGTTTCTTCATGTCCTCGAATGCTCGGTAGATATTGCTGTAAGTTTCAGGTGTCCAGCCCTAAAGAATGTAAGATCTCCGGGAGCGGTCGTTGCTAACACCGTAGTAGAAGGATGGGCTGGAAGCTGTCGAAAAGATCAACAATCCGGAGAATAACGAGAGCTTTGACCTCATTTTCATGGACATTATAATGCCCAACCTGGATGGCGTATCGGCGACGGCAATGATCCGGATGGTGACGGCAAGAGTACCCATCATTGCCATGACATCGAATATCCGACAAGAGGATATCCAGACCTACTTCCAGTATGGTAAGTCGAGCCCATCCGAGTTCATCCCACCTGCTTCTTCAATGCCCTAACATTCCTTTCTTCAAGGTATGAATGATGTGTTAGCAAAGCCCTTTACTAAAGACAGCATGATCCGCGTGTTGAGGAAGCATCTGGCATATATGCTCAAAGACCCGCTCCAAGGCGGCCTTAACTCGGATGACACAGGTCAGATCGTGGGTGCCCCAGGACCGCCGGGCCAGAACCAAGCTTACAGCAACAACCAACAAGCTCAGGCCAACATGATGGCGGCGGCGGCGGCGATGGCGAACTCTTCGATGGGCAGCGGCGCCCAGGTCAAATTTGAACAGACGCCGATACCTTCACCCGCCACCACATCCTCATGGCATTCCCCGGGGCAGATGAACCAGACATCCCCCAACATGGACGGTGGAGGATACATGAATGCCGGAGGGAGTGGCCCAGGAGGGATGGTTTTGACGCCGGGAGGCACACAAAGACCACCGCCGCCACCATATCAAATGATGAACAACCAGGTGAACAACCAACTAGCAGGCGGATCAGCGGGTTTCCAAGGCGGCGGTCATATGCAGGCCTCCGAGGGCATGGGAATGGGCGGCGGCGGATCTGATGAGAACCGACCAGAGAAGCGCCAAAGGTTATATGGGCCTGGCGCGAACCAGGGGCCGTTCGTGCAATAGCGAGCAACCGTTGATGAAAAGCTGGTTCTGGTTGGAAGTCGAAGTGGGAATAGTGAGTGACGAGATCGGGAAAAGCGCTGAAAAGAAGGGATTCCGCATTCGAGGACGGTGTGGGTCAGCTGGTGTTGACTTATTTCCGTGGTTGATTGTTTTGATGTCAATGTTGTGCCGTTGGATGCTCGTCGCCGAAGGCAAAGAGCTGTTGAATATCCGACCAGGCGTTGCCTCGGAATTGGCTAACCTCTACTGCAATTCGAAGCTTTAGAAACTCGTACCGAATCCTAACTTGCATGCACCGGTTGACGTGGATGTTCTTCGGTTTTTTTTTTTTTTTTTTTTTTTTTTTTTTTTGGTTGGCGATGTGTAGCGTGATTGGATAGGTAGAGAGGTGACTCGGTTGTCTGCTCATTCCGCGCATGTAGTTCGAGTCTGTAGTTGTCATTGCATCCAGTCTGCTATCCTTTCGACCTGTTGACCATTATCGATGGCCGGGTACTCTCATCGAGTTGTTGCTGTCGAGCCCGCTGTTGGTCGTCAAGTGAGCATATTGTGGTGGCGGCATTTTCCACGGTGAGCCGAGGTTATTGGTACCATTTGTGAGAAGAAGACTTTATGAGGCTGTGGAAGAAGGTGGGAAAAGACTAATAAGATGAGAGGAAGAGAAAAGGACGAAATCCGAAGTCAAATACGGGAACTTGAGAATAAATTGAACAGGGTACAGAAACAAGCTGCCAGCTGTAAGTAGGTGAGAGTAACGGAGAGGGAAAGAGGGCGAAAATGTTCGTAGGTCGAGGTACGGGGTAGGTGTTGCGAGCCTGGTGTGTTGTATAAGATATAAACGTAAAAGGAAGACGGGAGACGGGAGACGGGAGACGGGAGACGGGAGACGGGAGACGGGTGAGAGGACCATGGCTACCATTCGGTACAACCACTCGGTACTATAACCTAGAATGGTTGGTGGGTTCCAGACGAGCCTGGACCTGGCTAGGCGCAGGATCCCCGGGTACTTGCTACATATTCCTACACCAACTGTGGTGCAGACAGGAGTAAGCATTCGACAGCGTTTGGGGGGGGGGGGAGGATATCCCTTTGTATATGCATCTCGATCGGTGCCAGTAAAGGACTGGGATGGGCCAACGCTGTTGTTGCTCGGCCGATTTCTGACGGACCGCGAGACCGAAGAGGGCTTGGATGTCTGTGAAGACCAAGTTTTCGAAAGCGGGAGGGCCCGCTGGGTTTCCCTGTCAGTATGCGAGTGAAGAGTCGGTATTAGGCTCGGTACTAGGGGAGGGCATTTATAATCCTGGATAGTGCAGGATGGGGGAGTGGAGTGAGGTTGATACCTCTAACTGTAAATACCTCTCTTCAAGATAAGAAGCTGGTGCTGGAGAGCGGATGAGCCCCATTAGGTCCGTTATGAGGTCCGTTTGAGGGTGGAGAGGATCTTTCGGGTGTTTACCTGCTTGTGGCCGACGGACGATGTCGTATAAGTGGTAGTGGGGAGTCGTGTTGTTTATTCATCTCGATCACATTCAATACAATGTAGCCTTATGCTTCTCTCTCCCGCTGCCAGGGGTTCTTGACGGAGCTTGGGAACTCGTAGCGACGGCAGGTGAGACCAGGGACGGATCAGCACATTGGGATGCCGATACAACTGAAGGGTGATCGGTAATACGGAGGGGCGGCGGATTTACGGGCTGGTTCCAGTTGGTAACACCGAGGACAAGTATAATACACGAAGGCAACGAGGTGGAGGAGAAAGAAACAGCGATGGGGGGTGGAAAGGGGTTAAAACGCGGGCCGGAGCCGCCTCATCTGACGGCCTCGGGTGCCAGACTGTCGCGGAAGGGGGGACCAAGCTAGGCCAAGGACACTTCCCGGTAGCTCGGAGCCGAGGCAGTAAGCAATTTAAACAGAGTGGTGTTGGAGAATAGAATCCTTGCTACGCATAGTCTCTCATAACAGACGTTCAACCTAATTTGTTAGCCCCCATCCACTCCGCCGCTATACGTGGCGCAATCTCTTTGTACCCTATGGGTCCAAATAGTATGATATTAGGATTACGTCTATATATAACTTGAACGAAATCAGCCAATATATATAAAGAATATTCAATCTCTGCACAAACACTCGAATATTAAACTACTATAAAGATTTCAAATTTAATTAAATAAAGTGTCCGAGGATAGTACGCATTATAAATCCATTTCTATATACTTTTTTTTGTATTTCTATTACAATTTTATTATTTGTTGACACTATAGGGGTAAATTCTATTGTACGTAAAATTGCATTTAGAAGCATTGTATACTCTATTTTTGCAACCTATCGTTATATTAATACGAAAATTAATATATATATAATATACGACTATAAATCTAATATCGATAATATTATAATACGTATTCGTTGTATCGCCGACTTTCGTCAATTTAATACGTCCGGGCCTCTTAACCCAACTCTCTAAGGTTAAATTGGCGAAGTATTACAATATATAATATTTAATAATGATAAAAACGTCTGATATAATTTTATTAATACGGTCGCTACCTATTTATTAAATTGGGGGTTGCTACTAGGCTAGGACTAACGTCGTCCGAGACCTAATTAAATTAAATTTATTTATTATATTATTTATTAATAAGGCGATATAATTTTTATTACCCATACTGGCTATAGAAAGAATATTGTCTTTTAGACCGTATCTATTATCCTAGCTAATAAAGTTACTATTTAAATTATACCGCTTAATTAATTTAGTAAGGAATAGCGTAATGTTATTATTAAATTTCCGGGTATTCGGCTTATTTTAATTGATTAATTAATTATAAAAGTATAGAATTTATATTTGTTATATTTAAAACCGATAAAGGAATTAACCCTTTATTCCCCTATTAGGTTTGAGAGTTAATTCTCCTATTAGTTTTAAACGAGCTCTAACTAATCCTGTAGTAGTATCTATACTTTTAAATAGATTTAGAATTTGGAAACTATATATATATCCTTTTCGATCTAGAATAAACTACCTACATAAAGTTTATAGAGCTAATACGTAATATTTTATTCAATTAGCGAATCATTTTTATTATTATTAACGAATTATATATTATATTTTAATAGCGTACGTTTCGAAAATAATTTACGGATATCTATAATATTAAGACCGATATCCTATTTAGTATCCTTTAGTTTGGGTATACGGCTACTCTTATTTATAATATATAATATTATATATATAAATATAGCGGTTTCCGCCTAAAGGGTCGTAGGTTAAGTAAATTTACTATTATTTATACTTCTATCGATTGTTTTAATAATACAATAGTACTATAATTAATTTTATAAAGTACGTTTAAAAATTACTGGCGGTTGAAATTCTTTTTTAGCGCGCTTACATTTAACGCCCCCCTACTTAAGATTTATTTTATTTTGAAAATTATTATCTATATTAATAGCAAACTACTTTTTTTTCTCCGCTTAAGCGTATTTTTTATAATATTTTATATCTTTTAGTTATAAATTATCATAAACAATAAAGGTAATCTGCGAATATAATGTTAATATTTATCTTTAAAATTAGAGGGCTATATATAAGGACTTCAAACGGCCGGATTCAATATATCGGATAGTACTCGCTACTATTTCGCTTAATATAAATATAAATATTCCGGATGTATAGCGAGTAATATAATACGGCGCGGTCAAATCCGATAATATCGCGGACTTAATTTAGCGCTTTAGATGTACCGTCCGTACGGATCCTATTATATACAGTATAGGGTATTATATCGTCCTCTATTATTAATTTAATTATTGAGACCAATTATATAAACCTATTTAAATGGAAACTATCGTCTATTTTAGTAATACTTTATTAAATTATTCTACTATTTCAGGGGTTAAAATTTAATATATACTGCCCTCCCCCCTCCGTTATTGCTATTTCGTAATATACTATATTAAATTTCACTTTAATTAATAAGCCGGTATAACTGCTTACTTTGGGGGATAAAAATATATTAAATAAGGGAAATATATCTAACGAAGAAAATATATAGAGCAATAAAGATATATAAAGTAAAAAAGAATTATTAAATAATAATATTATTATTATCGGTTAGCTAATTTTATAGGAATTAGGAATTAGCGATAGTAATCGATAATTTTATATTTAAAATAAAATAGAAAAATTAGTTTGGGAGGAGATTATTAAAAAATATAAAGAGATACACAAATTTATTACTATACTTTATTTTAAGTAATATATTATAAAACTATTATAAGAACCTAAACTATTCCCTAAATTTAGGGATTCCTTTAATTATACAATAAATTTCAATATTAAACGCCTCGATACTACTCTTACTATATTACTTTTATCGTAATATTATAATAAGTATTATACCCCTTTAAATCTCTTACTATTTGTATTAGAAAAATCTATAATTATTATTTAGCGCCCAACGAAATTAATAAAAGCTAGTTTCGCCCTAGACGAATTAAACCGCTTTATAACCGCTACCGCTAAAATACTTTACTTTAGTATATTCAAATTATTCGATTTATTAAAAGAAGCATTTGTATTATTATTTCTCCTAAATATATTTACGTAACGGTTCGGGAAATAAGAACTTATACTTATAATAAAAGACTTTATTAAAATTATTCCGGAATTCAAATTATAAAAGTAATTAGAAGGGTATAGGAATATCCTAATTATATAGTACGCCTATATTATACCTAATTCGTTAAAAATATTTATTACGAGTACGGAAAGGATAATTCGTAATAGCGTAAATACAGAGAAGAAGAGATTAGCGAAGGCGGAATAAGTATAGATTTTAAAAATTATTACTAATAGCCTATTTAATACTATAGGTTTAACCTTATACGCGGTATCTCCTACTAATATATATATAAGTACAATTCTACCCGTAAAAAGGGTAAAAATTAGTATAATCCTAATAAAACGGAAAAAGTAAATATATACGCTTTACGTACTTAAGGAGTATTTAAACGAAACTTCCTAATAAATGATTTAAAACCGATAGAGGAGGTTACTAGGAGGAAGCTTTACTATATTATAGAATAGATAAAGAAAGATCGCTATAAATAAAAATTATAAGATTTATTTAAAAACTCTAGGCTCTACTCTAATTTTTATATTATAAATCATCTATAGACCTAAATATAATAACCCTCCCCTATAACTTCTAGAATTCTTCTTTCCTCTTTCCTCTTATATTACATTATACTTTCCTAATTCTTCTATTGGTTTTAATACCGATTTAATAATTATTCGCTCCCCTCTATCTACTCCTATTAATTTTAATATAAATTTAATAACTACTCGCTTCCTTTTATCTTCCCCTATCGGTTTTAAAGTTATTTTAATAAGCTTTTAGTATTTCCCTACCTTAATTACCCCTATTAATTTTAGGCCTAATTAATCGGTTCTACGGGGCCCTATTAAATAAGGGATCCCTTATTACTTAAAGTGAAATAATTTTACAATCTTACATAATATTTATAATATAATCCGCTTATTTAAATAAATAGGTTGAGAGAAATTTAATGATACTAAACCAATAAAAAACCCTTACCCGGATACGGATATCTAAGGAATTTTCTTTGATAGATAAAATTTAAATATATTATAATTATTATATTTTCTACCCCTAAAATAGTTTAGGTTTCGGATAAATAAAGAAGATACGAAATAAATATATATTATCCAATTTGCTATATATTTTAATAATATTTTATTCCTCTCCTAGTACCCCGCTTATATTAGCGGCTACAATATAAGAGAAGTACAAAATTTAATCCTAAATATCTATACGGAATAGTAGTCGGAAAATAAAAATTTATATAAACGGGTTATTATAATTATATAACCAATGAATTCCAATTATTATAAAAAGTAGGTTAAATAAAAGGGCGATAATATTATGCTACTAAAATAAATAATTATATTATAAATCTATCGGTCCTTAATTCTATCGAATAATTATATAACGAGAATTTTAAAATATTCGAATATAGTAGCCCTATTCTAATATTCCGATTATAAGGGTAAATATACTCCGTTTACCATTTAAAACCAATAGGGGAAATATATCCTCTTTTAACTTCTTCCTCTATTGGTTTTAAATCCGCTTTAGGTATTCGCTAACTATATTTCAATTTCCCTAATTTTTAATCCTATAAAATATTTTAAAACGAAATAATTTTATAGTAAGGATAATTAATTCGGCGTTAATATACCCGATTAGAAAAAAAAGAAGGGTATTGTTTTTAAAGCGGTTAATTATTTTAATTATAAGTATATCTTGCGTATATTATTCTAAATATTTAACCTCTCTAACTACGTTCTTACTATTTGTATTAGCAATTTGGAAATTGTTAATACTAATTTACTATTAGTTAAAAAGAATAAAATTTATTTAAAAGCTACAGTATTAGTAAATTAACTTATATACTTATATATATCGTAAACCTCACCCAGCGGGGGAAGTAAATATAAATATATCCAACTAACTAATATACTAAATAAATCTGTGTAATTAAATTATATAGCAAACGATTAATTCTATACAATAATC